TTGTTGTTTATCTGCTGTCTAAAGAAGACTTTGAAGTTTTGTTTTTTGGAAAAGACTTCTAAAAAGGGCAAACTCACACCAGAATGTTGCATTCTTGGTACTTAACTACTTACAGTTTTGGCTTGTAGCTGATACTGTTCTTTTATGATGAATCTTCTGTCATATATTCTCTAAGATTAAAAATTCTAACAAGTTAGTCTTATATGGAAAGAACATATTAAAATTTTTGATGTAAAGAACTAATCCAATTTGGATTATTTCACAACCATTCAGGTTGGGGGTGAGGGTTTTTTTTAGTGTAACTGGTGATGTCTTGTGTTGAGACATGAATAAAAAAAAACCATTTTGTGTTTTTGACATTTTTCTTCCTGTTCACTGACTGTCACAGGCTTACCAGGCCAAGGAGCTCAGGTCGCTTGTACCTGGATGCTCCAGTTGGTAATGGCTAGTAAGCCTTAAAGCTGGAATTATCTTCTCATTTATGAAGAGGGAGAATTTCAAGAAGAGTGAGATCTTCAGAGAAGCAGATTATTATTTTCTTGTGAATAAAGATGAGCGAATCTTTGTCTCTCAGAACAAGAATTGCCCTGTCCCTTTGCAGTGTTATATCTGAAATCATCTAAATGAATCTTTCTGAGAAACTACTATGCAGTGGTTTGAAAAATGAATTAGTTCTTCATATTTAGACACTTACTGATTACTATCCAGGTGGTTTTGTGAAGGGTTTAATATACAATGGTCTGATCTCAGGAAAGGTGAAGATTTTTGGTTTGGGACTCACCCTGTCCTGGAAGTTGTGTCTTTTCAAGAGCAGAAGTTCTTTCCCCTGCTACAAGCAGTCACAAAACTGGCCTTTGAGCTGTGTGGGTGCTGATGGGAGGTGGCTGTCTGCTGCCATGATGGTTGTATTGTAGGTGCAGGGTTTGTGCTGGCTCATGTTCTTTCCAGACACTCAACTTTTGTTTTCAGCTTTGTTTGTTCATCATTAAGGACAACAGACTACCTTGTGGACTCGTGATTGTATCTTCTACTCTTTCCTCACTTATGGACTATTTGTCAGGTTATTAGCCAGAGTGTTTTCTGGATATAGTAATCAACATTTGCCTGTTCGAGGTGTCCTAACAGGCTTCTTAAGATGCCTGTTTAAACTGTGTTAAGCTGTCATCATTTTTTCTGATTGCTTTCTCCATTTCCCTGATCTCTAAGTTTGAGGGTCTCTTCCACTGTAACTCTTCCCATGTTCATCAATATTTACTTTTTAACCTAACACTGAACATTGTATGTTGTCTTTGGTTTTGTTTGTTTTTCGGGGGGAACAGTGGGGCGGTGTGTGTGTATGGTGTGTTTTGAGATAAGTCTACTGACACACGACTCTAAATTAGTAATTTTAAATGAAAGAACTTGAGCAAAGCTTTATTCTCCTCATTGTTCTTTCACTTCTGAATCTTCAAAAATACCAGTCATGCAAATGAAAGATCAGTCCTTAGTGTGCTTTGCAAAGCATAACTTCTAGCACAAGATTTATGTTAATAAAGAGTGGCCTAACTGATTTTAATAGTTTAAAACAGTTCTTTAGTGGAAACTTTCATTCTGTCTCTGGTACTTTGTAGCAATGTAGAGTGTATAAATGGAGTTATAAAATCTCAGTTGTGGTATGCCTGCATTCTTGCCAATCTTCTATGATATTTTCAGAATTCTGAAAGTCATGATCTTATCTGTGATAACAGTTGGAAAGTTGTAGAGACTCTTGCTACAGGAGTTTGGCAGTTTGGGTATGGTATTGTGTGAAACATTTTAAACAAATTTGTAACACTCATGAGCTTTTCTGACTTACTACTGTTCAACTGTAGTCTTTTTCTGCTAATATTTGGACCAAGCCATCTTGCCAGCCTCTCAGAAATTCCCTGCAATTGACATGGCCTTTTAAATGCAGTTGCTGAGATGAGTAGTATTTTAGGTTATTGCTTAGATTGAAGTTTTTGAAAATGCAGTGTAACACCTTCGACAGAGCATCCATGAAATGACCTTTGTGGCAAAGTGGTGCTGAAATATTCCAATAGTTAAGATCAAAAAAATTACTCTTAGTAGGTGTTCTCAAATTTCAAACATTGTTTTACAGCCTAGTCGTGCCTCACCTTTTCACAGAATGACAGAATGGTTTGGGTTGGACACAACCTTAAAGATCATCTCGTTCCAACCCCCCTGCCATGGGCAGGGACACCTTCCACTAGACCATATTGCTCAAAACCCCATCCAACCTGGCCTTGAACAGTTCCAGGGGTGTGGGGCATCAACAGCTTTTCTGAGCAACCTGTTCCTGTGCCTCACCACCCTCACAGTGAAGAACTTCTTGCTACATCTAACCTCTGGCTAGTCTCTTTCAGTTTGAAGCCGTTCCCCCTTGTCCTATCACTACATGTACTTGTAAAAAGTCCCTCTCCAGCTCTTGCGTAGCCCCTTTAGGTAGTGAAAGGTGCTATAAGGTCTTTCTGGAGCCTTCTTTTCTCCAGACTGAACAACCCCAACTCTGTCTTCATAGGAGAGGTGCTCCAGCCCCCTGATCATCTTTGTGGTCCTCCTTTGGATGCGCTCCAACAGGTCCATGTCCTCCGTATATTGGGGACCTCAGACCTGGATGTAGTACTGCAGGTGGGCTTGCATGAGAGCAAAGTAGACCAACACCCCAAGTCTTTCTCCTCAGGGCTGCTCTCAGTGCATTCTCCACACAGGCTGTATTTGTGCTTGGGATTGCTGCGACCCATGTCCAGCACTTGCTCATGGTCTTGTTGAACTTCATGAGGCTCCCATGGACCTACCTCTCAAGTTTGTCAAGGTCCCTCTGGATGGCATCCCTTCCCTCCAGTGTGTCAACTGCACCACACAGCTTGGTACTGTCAGCCAGTTTGCTGAGGGCACACCTGATCTGTGTTGCTGTCAAAGACTTTAAACAGTGCCAATCCCGATACTGATCCCTGAGGAACACCACTTGTCACTGGTCTCCACTTAGGTATCGAGCTGTTGACCACATCTCTTTGAGAGTGACCGTGCAGCCAATTTCTTACCCAGTGAGTGGTCTGTCCATCAAATCCATGTCTCTTCAGTTTAGAGACAAGGATGTCATGTGGGACAGTGTCAAATGCTTTGCACAAGTCCAGGTAGATGATGTCATTTGGTCTTTCCTCATCCGTCAATGCCATAACCCAGTTGTAGAAGGCTACTGAATTTGTCTGGCATGATTTGCCCTTAGTGAAACCCTGTTGGCTGTCACTAATCACTTCTTTATTTTCCATGTGCCTTAGCATAGTTCCTAGGAGGATCTGCTCCATGATCTTGCTGAGCACAGAGGTGAGACTAACTGGCCTGTAATTCCCTGAGTCTTCCTTATTTCTCTATTTAAAAATTAGTACCTCATTCTTCTCTATATCCCAGGTAACCAGGTTCCCCATTTCCTTCTGGAGAGGGTCTGTATTTTCCCTCGCTGTCCTTTTATCACCCACATGCATATAGAAGTTTTTCTTGTTGGTCTTGACATCCTTGGTCAGATTTAATTCTATCAGGGCTTTAGGTTTCCTTACATGATTCCTGGCTGCTCAAACAGTTTCTCAATATTCCTCCCAGAGTACCTGTCCTTGCTTCCACCCTCTGTAAGCTTCCTTTTTGTACGTGAGTTTGTCCAGGAGCTCCTTTTTCATCCATGCAGGCCTGCTGGTGTTTTTGCCTGACTGCCTCTTTGTTGGGATGTATTGCTCCTGAGCTTGGAGGAAGCAATCCTTGAATATTAACCAGCTTTCTGGGGCCCCTCTTCCCTCCAAGGCTTTATCTCATAGTACTCTAACAAGAAGATTCCTTGAAGAGACCAGAGTCTGCTTTCCTGAAGTCTAGAGTATTGAGCTTGCTGTGCTCCCTCCTTGCTGCCCTAAGGATCTTGAGCTCCACCATTTCTGGTCATTGCAGCCAAGGCTGCCCTTGAGTTTCATATTCCTCACCAGGGCCTCCTTGCTGGGAAGAACAAAGTCCAGCACAGCACCTCTCCTCGACAGCTCCTCTCTCGCTTGGAGAGGGAAGTTACCTTCAACTCACCATAAGCTTTCTAAGTTATTTTTATTTTAACTTCCATAGGTTAAATGTACAGACCAAGGCGTGTACTACTTCTGTATGCATAACACCTTCTTGTTTTCTTGAGCAAATTGATTCTGGGTGCTATGGGATGTTCTTGTGTCTTATGTATATATTCCAAATAGCATTCTTTCACCCTTTGGTTACCTTGGGGATTGGTTTGCATAGGCTCTTGAGGTGGGAATTTGATTTTTCATCCTAGTGTTTTTTCCTGTGGCCGGGAGAGCCGCTTTGTTTTCCCACAGTGTTGTGGGAAGGTACTGGTTGTCCGGTGAAGTTCAGTGAAATTTGGCAATCAGTGCTGGTAATGACTGGATATGGAAGAATAAAAAAAAGCCAACAGCTACCCAACAAAAAACCCCAAAACAACCTAAAACCCCAAAACCAAACCTCTATTAATTATTCTATAAATAGTAAACTTTTTTTTGAAACTATATTGCTGTATTACTTATGGCTGTTCTGAAAATGACAGAGTTCAGGGAAAGTTAAAAATTATAAAGACAATACTTTCCCATCAATCTGTTAATTCTTTGTAGTAATTGTTGTCTAATTCCATTGGTCAACTCTGAGAGATTTTAATATATTTTTTTCACAAATTTCCCAAGGTGAGAGAGCATAGTCTGATAGCCAGTGATCTTTTGGCACAAATTCTAGGAGAGTGACGTAGAATGGTCTTCTCTAGTTTAGACTCTGTAAAGTTTAGAAATTACTTTTATCCAGACAAACTGGATAGTTTTCAGTAACGACTGATAGGGGAATTTTGCTCAAACATAAAAAGTTGAGTTTTGCTAGTTACTTGAAATTAAAAAATAGAATCTAATGAACAGATATTCCTTCAAGACACTATTGCTCTGACCTCATATACAATCGGTTTTGTTTTTCAGATTTTGGATCGCTCTTTGATCTGGAACATGACTTGCCAGATGAACTGATCAGCTCCACAGAACTGGGACTCACCAATGGTGGTGACATTAATCAGCTGCAGACCAGCCTTGGCTTGGCACAAGATGCTGCCTCTAAACACAAGCAGCTGTCTGAACTTCTACGGGCTGGTGGCTCCCCAAATCTGAACATGGGGGTTGGTGGCCCTGGCCAGGGCATGGCCAGTCAAACCCAACAAAATAGTCCTGGAATGGGAATGTTAAACAGCATGGTGAAAAGCCCCATGGCACAGGCTGGGTTGACTTCTCCCAATATGGCGATGAGTGCAAGTGGACCAAACCAGGGTCCTTCTGCCCAATCCACAGCAGGAATGATGCCAACAGTAAACAGTCCAGTTAACCAGCCTGGCATGGGAATGAACACAGGGATGAATGCTGGCATGAATCCTGGGATGTTGGCAGCAGGCAACGGACAGGGGATGATGCAGGGGCAAGTCATGAACGGTTCAATTGGAGCAGGCAGAGGGCGGCCCAATATGCCGTACCCAAACCCAGGAATGGGTACTGCCGGTAACTTGCTGGCTGAGACACTGCAACAAGGCTCTCCACAGATGGGAGGGCAGGCTGGACTGAGAGGGCCACAGCCTGGGGCCATGAACAAGGTAAGATGAGCTAAATTTTATTATCTTCCTTATCATTGTTGACTTTATTTTGTAAAATTTATTCCTCTGCAGTATGGGTTCTATAGGTTGTTTTTTTTCCTTTAAGAATCCTGTATCATGGGGTAAATAGTTTATATGCTGCTAAAGTGGAATTTGTGACAGTCATACGAAGTGAGAATTGAATCTTGCACAACAAGCAAGACTATGGCTAGATTAAAAAGCCCATTTTAGAAATCTTGTGGCAGTATAGATTATCAACAACATTGAAAAGTAACTTGATTGTATTTTATTCTGTTTTATGCTTTGTCCACAACTGTATTTTCCCATCTGATGTGATGCTGGTATTGCGAGTGTCGTGGGAATCCATCAGGATGTTGTGGTGCTTTTTTCTGTGTGACAGTCAATGGAAGTATTTGTTGTCCAAGATCAGCTGAGTGTTTATGCTGTGGCATATGCTAAGAGGCACATACAGGTTTGAATGGACTGATGCACTCACTGTATGTGCCAAGACTTACATTGGCCTTGTTAAAGAATAGGTATTTGAGTTAATGGTGGAGAATGAATGCTTGTGTAAACACCTGAAGATAAATGTTAAGTTCTTAAGACTGTTAATCTGACTCAGTTCTAGTTTTAATATTCACAATTCCTTTGTCTATAGGAGAGCAAACCAGAAAGCTGAAAAAAAAATCTTTTTATACTGGAGAGGGAAATAAATGTGCTTTTGTAATTCAGGAGATCAGAAGAAAGTTATCATGAGTCACTGAAAAGACAAGAGAAGACTCTAGTGGTTTAAATGACAAAAAGGTGCCTAAATTTAATTTTTGTCATGCACAATTAGCTGTCTTAAAGTAGTAGCCACTTGAGTATTTATTCTCCAGTTTTTAGTGTTTTGATTAAAAGCCTAGAAAATACTTAAATGTTTCAGTTCACTTTAGGTGGGTATTTTATGTTTCTTGGCTAAGGAGGGGAGAGTTTTTCTAAGATGCTCTGCAATACCTAAATCTGTCTTAGAATGCCTAAAATCAGTCCACTTGGAGGGCTAGGCATGATAAATAACAATCTATAAATGTATTTGAGACATAAGTTACGCTGTGTATTAATACCTTTAGTGTCTTGTGAACGTTAATTATGAAGTTCTTTGATCTTAACTGTTTGCTTAAGCTCAATGTGCTGCTAACTACAGTTCTGGTGTGCATCTCTACATACATGTTCAGTAATGAGTTGATTTTGTGGTCTCATCATTTCAGATATTTTTGCATGATAGGAAAGTTGTTGCAAAGCTTGATTACTATAGTAGAAAATTTATATGCAGCTTATGGTGGTAAGAAATGTGTAGCTACTTAAAAGTATTCTTGTATTGGAATTATATAATATTCATTATTCCTTGGCTGTAAAAAAAAAAAAATTGATCTTCAGAAAACTGTATTCAGAGGTCAAAAATTGATATAGTGGGTGTTTGGATGAAATGCAACTTCTTAATCCTTACTTATCAGAGCTAAAGTAGGGTTATGCACTGTAATAAACTTATTTATCTAGAAGTAAGGAAAGGACATAAAACCAAGCTTTTGGCTGATGTAGTCTAAAATTAAATTGTCTTCCTCCCTTACTTAAATTCCAAAATGTGCTGTACATCTAAAGTAAGAACATTTTGTGCTTTGGGGAATATTCAGACCAAATACATGATAACTTCTGGTTTTTAGTTTGTAGTCCCAGACTGATTAAAAATACTGAAGAATTCTTTAATTGCTCATAAAAAAGTCCTGAGACTTTTTGTGTAAGTATAGTGGGTACAGCCTTCATAAAGGAGTTGAAACTGCCAGATGAGAAAGAACAGTCTGAAATGGAGGCTGAAATTCCAGAACGTCTTCAATCAGTTTGGTTGTTGGCAGGGAGCCTGTGTTTCACTTCATACAGTGGAGTTAGCAAAGTCTGACAACAGCAATGTCTGACCGTTTTATCTCTCCACCTATCTGCTTTTTGGTTTTCCCACCTACAAATCTTCAAAAATAGATGAAAACAGAGGACCTTAAGTTGTTTTTAAAAGCCAGTTTTTCTAATTGGTAAATTTAGTACTGTGTTGCTGTTAATGTGGGGGTTTGTGTGATAACTTCTGTAGGTTTGCTTCATTGCTGCAAAAAATGTGCATTATCCAGAAGCTCTCCTTCAGTAGGAGGGAGAAAACCAGACCAGATGCTTTGGTTATGATTGTTCAACTTCACCATGTTAGCTTGCCAAAGTCAGCCCTTTCAGGTGATGGGAGAGTTGCCTCTGACTTCTCTCTCAGCGAAACAGTGGTGTTTTGTGCAATGGGTTGGATGGAGGAATAGCTTAGGTTTGCATCATGTTAACTAATTGTAAGGGAGAATGTTATGCTCTTCTAATAGTAAAGATGAGCTCCAAGTGGTGAGTTAATTTGGAAAGCGAAATTGGTTACATCTCAACTTTGTTCTGTTATCCTGGGGAGTTACTGAAGAGTTTTCTTCCTCTCTTCCCAAAACATTGACTAGCAATAGAGTGGAACACTTGCTTTGTGTTTTAGTCATGCACTTCCCAGCTTCCCAACTAGTTGTGCATGTTACTTTTTAGGACTTGAAATCCCAAATGTCAATGTAAACAATAGATTTGTACAAATAAACTTGTACTGTCATAATCTGATGCCTTACGTCCTGTGGTTTAATGCCATAGTTTTATGTCTGATGTAAGCAGTCCCTTTGGATGCCATCGCTGTGCCAGTTGGATGACAGGCTGTGTTGAAGAACTAATCCAGACTTGAATTGAAACTCATGTGGTCATTAAAAAAAAAAAAAAAGTTTTAATTTGAATTGTTTTTTGTGTCCAGTTTACATTTATCCGTTGAAAAACTAGTATCTCTGAATTAGGGAGAGGATTTTTTAGAGGAGTTGATCTTGCCAGTCAGAGGAGGGTGTGAATCCTGCTTTGGTGACAGTACCAGTTTAAAAATGCCTGTGAAAGTCTACCCTGAAAGGAAGTGTTACAAGTTTGGAGAGGAAAGGAATTGTAACAAGTTTTGCTTGAATAGTTTTTTGTTTTCTGTGTGGTTTTATATGTTTTCTCTGGTTTTGAGCAAGTTAAGAGGACAACAGACATGCCTATTACTCTTGAAATAGTGTTTTGGAATTTGTTTATAAGGCTTGGATTCTTTCAGCGTCTATTCATTTTTCAGGCTTTTTGTTTCACTAGATAGATTTACAGATTTGATTGACTCAAATATAAGCAGATAACTTATTATAGAGCTTGAATTTGCTAAAAAAAAAAAATTCATGTTTCCTGTTTTGAACCATTCTTCATTTGGAATTGTGTCTAGTCAAAATCTTCATTTTATTGTTCCACTGGGTTCTGTTGAGAGTGCCAAGTTAGGGTCTTACTGTCCAGCCTCTTATTAGGGGAGGAGGTTATTTTGTGTATAAGTTGATGTATGCATTTATGTCATAGCACAAAGTGACAAAGTTCACCTGACCCTCAGGTCACTTAGATCTCACTTCCCACTGCTTCAAGACATGTTTCCCTAACTCCAGTAATGAAGTGGAAGTGAAGGCAGTTCAGATTAGTAAGGGCATTACTGCTACCTCTGCTACGTGAGTATTTCACTTGAAATGTTTGGAGTTTCAGTAGTAATTCTTTGCCATTTGGCTCACTGTTTGAGTATGTACAGAGTTCTCTGCTATTATAATGGATACATTTGGCTTTATCAGTTTAACCTCTGTTAAGAAGATTCAATGGCAATACTTTACAAAGACAAAGGTAGAATATTTGTAGTGTCTATGTGCATAGTTGTAACAGGTGTTCCTCCTAAATTTGTACTTTGTGGTATCAACAGTAAAACTAGAAGCAGAGTTACTTGACCATTTTCTGAACTGAAAATACATGTGTTCCATGGCATTAGAACAAAACCTTGGGGGATTTCCTCCACTTTTGTAGTTATTCTTCTTAAGGCTGCTCAGATACTCCCCCAATCTATCCGATACTGCATGAGCTTGGGAACGTTTCCTGAACTCACATTATCCATGATGAGAGACCTCCTTCCATGAGAGGCAGGAAAGTCAAGTTGTTTCCACTGTGTAGGTAGAAGGTAGAACCATCTGAGATTACCTTTGCCTTCTATTAGCCACATTTTATGATCTTTCTTGTTTTCTTCCTCTTTACTGTGAATTGGATTTCTGTCTGCTCTTCCTTTTGTGCAAGTTCTTGCATATGAGATGAAAGTAAGTTGAAGCTGTGAGGAGAGGAAGAAAAACTTCAGATGGGTATGAAGAGTAATAGGAAAAGCAGTGAAAGGAGATGGTGGCCAGGAAGAGTGAGTAGAGGTTGGACTCTCTGACTTATAACTGTATTTCAACCATCTCTATTTTTGCATGGTGTTGCAGATGAAGCCTTGTACTTCTGTCTGATACAGTGGCGCTAACACCACCTTTCTTTGGCTGGTTCTTCTGCACTGGATTGTTTATTTACCCTTCCCAACAGATCATTAATGTGATGAGAAACTGTATATTAGTCTTTCTGGTTGTTTCCTACTGATAAAATTATACAGGATTATTTTGATCTTCCTTCTGTAGTCACTAGGCCATGCATTTCTTCCTGTTTGTTTTCTTTTATTCATGTTTCTCAACATGTCACAGCAAATGACATGAGCATGCTCCTGCTTCTTCTGCAGGGTCACAAGGTCACCTTGTGCCAGGTGAAGAATCTCCCAAATGACCCTTCTCTTGACTCAATCTAGGGTTGTGTGCAGTTGGTTGGTTTCAGGTTAGTGGGTCTGTGGTGGCAGGACTGGGGGCCATTGCTGTGAGGTTCCTCTGTGGATATGGCAGGTGTCAGTCTCACCTGGACCAAATAATGGCAGTTGATTTGTTCCAGGAGACATTGAGGCATTTGTTTTTTAGCATCCTTCTTAGGTGTCGCTTGAATGTATGGTTTTTGGAGTCAGTTTGGCATGCTTGACTTCCAACCTGGCCTAGGCTTCTCTGGTGTTTGCCTCTCTTGTAAGCTGGAATTACCACTGTCAGAAGCAGCTAGGCTGAGCTGGGCATGAAGCGTTCTACTGCCAGGTGCCTTGGTACAGCAAGGTGGAGGGAGAGTGGAACCCTGTGTTTCTGCCATGGAGGCAGCCCTGTTTGAGGGGGCTGATCTTGCACCCCAGACAGTACCAGTGGCTAATGCTTGAGAAAACATCAGAGATCTTTGTGCTGCAGCAACTTGATTAGTACATTTGAAAAAGTCAGATGCTTCACATAAAATTTGTGTGCAGCTTTGTTGCAAATACAAATGTTGATTGGCATGGTGCAGCCTCATCCCTGAGTTTCATTAGGAAGCTCTTTTAGGTGACATAGCAAAAGTGATGTAGCTTTTTCTAAGTCTAGATTTGGTTTCTTCCCCTGCAGTCAGGACAAAGTTGGCTCATCAGGCCACAGTTATTCTGAATCCTTTGGTATCAATATGTGAAATCTAAAGTTGTCTGAGTTAGGCATCTTGATTTCTCTCTGTGACATCAAGGTGTGAAAATGTGCCTTCAGCCTTTAATTCTGAGTTGTTTGGTTTGGGTTTTGGTTTTTTGGTTTTGGTGGGGTTTTTTTAAAGGCAAATAGCAGCATAAGTTATAGAAGTCAAATGGAGTCGGTGATAGTGATGGCCAGTGTAGTCTATGCTTTAGTATACTCTCAGCTGTCAGGTGACTTTGGTAGTTATCATTGTTAATGAACTTGAAAACTTTGCTTAGAAATTTATGGTTTGGGAGATGTACCTGTTTTCAAAACCCTTTCTGGAGCCTAAGGGATCAAGCTATCTTACAGGAAAACATGACTTGTTTTCTTAAGGAAATAGTTCTCACTAAGCCTTGAACATGTTGCTCAATTTGAGACAACAGTGATGATGGGAAATATTTCTGAACGTGTGTTTGCTGACTCCTTATTCTTTTCTTTTTTCCCTTCTGCTCAGTTTGCACGTAAGATCTTACTCTTCTTCTGAGGGAGAGGAAGGGAGGGTTTGAGTCTTACCTGTTCTGTTTTTGGCAGCAGCTGCTTCATTGGTCACCATATGTGTGTTCATTGCAGTTGAGACACAGCAGAGGAAAAAGATAGAGGAAAGGAAGGCTTTTTAATTCTGCCTGATCATTGCATAGTTTGTTTTTCTGGTATGTGTAGAGATTCTTTTCATTGCTCTCTAATGAATTACTGCTGTGTGATTATGGTTATTGCTGATGTGTGGAGGAGGGGGGCTGTCCTCAAGTGAATTCACTTGTGCATATCAGATGTCTAAAGTGGCAGGTTCTACAGTGAATTTTGTATTCCTTCTCCTGTAGCTTGAGTTTGATCCTGCTTTATTTTGTAACTGCAACCTGAAGGCTATTATACTAGATTGGAGGTTGTTACAGCCTGAAAAAGGAAAGTGTAACTAATCACAGGTAATCTCAGGGCATGTTGCTTGTTACTTCTCTATACGGGTTGGAGAAGCTTGGTAAGGAGTAGAAGCAAGGGAGGATGCTTTGAGAATCAATGTAGCAGTAATTGGAAACAAACTTACCATAGGAGCTACTATGCACTTTTTTGGATGCAGGAAAATGCTTTGAACCAAAAGATATTGAGGAGACTGGACATTGTCTAGTCAAATGCTAATGTGAGTTGAAACAATACAGCTCTTTAAAGTATTTTTGTGCCTCTGTTATTAGAAGTTGTGTCTCCTTGAAGATCCTGCCTGAGTAATGGTAAGATCTTGATAATCTGAGTAAAAATCTCCAGTTTTTCTGGTCCTCTATGGCTAGTTGTTTTGGTCCTAGAAAGCCAGATTTCCCATGAAAAAATAGATAAGAATGCAAGAAATGGAAAAAAAATGTCAGAGGACAAACAACTTAATTGGCAAGATTGCTCCTTTTCCTTTAGGTTCTAGGGCATTCCGAGGCAACAAATAGTATATTCTAGTTTGCTAAAGCTGTTGAATATGCATAAGGCTTGTATGAAACATGAATCTATTTCCCCTGTGAATGAATGGTTCAGTAGATCTGTTTTGTTTGCAGAGTTCCTGTCTACCATCTCCTTTGACCTCTAGTACTACTCACTGCAAACTAGTTACTGTGACTGTGTGAGGTGCTAACCTGTGACTATGGTGTATTCTTAAATTGAAAATGTTTGGGTACCGATAATGCAGGCATGTATTGTTATGGCTATCTGGAGAGGAGCTGTGGGAGTGCTAGCAGTTGGGTAGGATGTTTTTGGGATGAACTCTGCTGATATGAACGAATATGGTATTCATCTCCATTTGGAGTCTGCACAAGTGCAGGGAGGAGAAAGCTTCCAGACTTGGGTCGTGTAGTCCATGGTGCAAATTTGTGTTTCAGAAAGCTGAAATAAGAAATCTGTTGAACCAAATATTTTCTAAAGAAATAATCAGGCCAATTTTGTCCGGTCTGACCTCAAAGGCTGGTAAGTTGGCTTCGTCGTATTTATAGGAACTTTCTGTTAATGTTATGTGATGAGTGAATACATGAACATGAAGCAGGGGAAGCATGTAGATCTGTATTGCTTTGCAGCTCGTTCATGGTTATGATCACTCTTGCTTCTCTGAAGTATTAATTTGCCTTTTACATTGTGAACTTAAGCTGTCTTACCATTTTAATTTCTAGATGGGAATGATGAGCAATCCCAGTCCATATGGCCAGCCATATAGTCAAAATACTGGGCAGCAGATTGGAGCCAGTGGACTTGGGCCTCAGATGCAGAATAAAGCTGGACTGCAGAATAGCTTACCACAGTTTCCAATGGACAAGAAGCAAGTTCCTGGGGCAGGAATGCCTAACATGGTAAGTAGAATGAAAGGTGTCTCCAGAAAACATTGCAGTAGATCAAAGGGGAGCAATGTGCTCTCGTCTTGCCATGTTGTGTTTTTTGCAGCTGTCATACCAAGTGTGAGTACGTGCTCTGAATCCCCACAGGGTGCACTTGCTTCAACTCATAAGAAGACTGATATGAAGGAGAGGGCTGAGTTGTGCTTTCTGTGTTGATAAGCTGCATCTCCACTCTTGGCCCTTCAAACCTTGCTAACAGGGAAAATGAAATGGAGCTCCTTAACTAAAGTCAGCTTTGTCACCTGTTTGGACACCTCTGCTCTCCTCTCCCATCTCTTTTGTGGTTGGTCTGTTGTAACCCTTCTCCTCAGAGTAGCTCTGTCTGCAGGATTTTTTCCTGCTTGTACTCACTGATGCTTTTGGGAGAGAGGAGTGTCTCTTCTCAGGCAGGTATTCCCTACGATAGGGCTTGGAGGCCCCACTCGTGTTTTTTTCTTGTTGTGAATTACATGAACACACACAACAGTCCTGTTGCTGGAGGTTCCCTGGCAACTGTAGTAGCCCTGATGCCTTCCCCTTTTCCCTCCACACTCTTATTGCATCAGGACTTAAGGAAAGGGGAAGTAAGAGTGGTGGGAAAAGTGGATGGCCCAAGCTTATAAATGCCAGTGCCTCACCACATGCCTTAACATTGGATTCCCTAGCTTGAGCTTAACACTGATGCCTCATTATTTTCAGAGCTTAAATTGGTTAGAGGTATGACATGCAACATGTCCTGTGGGTTTTCCCACCCCTATGTATATATTTTTTTTTAATTTAGGAAACATTCACATTTCTGAATATAGCTTATGTTTCTCCTTGCCTCAAATTTCACTCCCACACACCCCCTGGGAGGGTCAGTCTCTTTATCTTAGTAACTGTTGCTGAAAAACCATTTCCAGTTAACTTTAGTACCTTTAAACTAAAAAGAACTCAATCCTATGAGATTTATTTAGTGTTTCTTTAAGTTGAACATGAAACATTGGAAGTCTAGCAAAACCACTTGGCTGTATGAACCAATAAAAAAGCAGCCAAAATCTGTTCAGAACTGCAGCTGTCAGGTTTGTGTTCAGTGCAGAGCATATAACTTGAAGCTGAACTGGTACCCAGCTGAACCTAGGAATGAAAAGTTGCTGCTATCTCAGCTGTTGTCTAGAACAACAGGCTGCAAACAAGACAGTTATGGTCATATTGGAACATATACAAACCCTTAGGGCCTGACTAATTGGTGAAGTCTCCCTGTAGAATGAAAGGTTAGTACTAGTACTTAAGAGCTACAGGAGAACTGGGGTTTAGGAATACAGGTAGATGACGTCTAAAGATCTGGACGTCTCCCGAAACATCCTCTAAAACCTCTAGGAAGAATCTGTTGGAAGCTGAAGTCTGTTGAAATGAAATGGTACAAGCAACATAGAGTCCCTGAGCTGTTCTTCTTTGCTGAATACTCCTCAAATGTCACCTGAAAGAAATACAAAGAGTACTAAAGAAATAAACAGAAGCAGAGAAGGCATACCAGATGTTGCCATACCTGATGTTAGTTCTGTGGTGTGTATTATCGTGAGGTTGTGCTTCATCTCTAGCAGAGACTAGGAGATGCTTGTTTTGAATGCCTGTGTGTGAGTTTGACAATGGAAAAAGGTTAAAAGGTTCCCAGGACTTCCCTTTCATTCTCCTTTTCTAGGAACAGTCAAATCAAGACACCTTGTACTGCAATAGAGGAAAACAAGTCACTCTAAAATGTGCTTTCTTCCATTAATGCAATAATTGTGGGTACAACTTTTTAGCCTCCAAAATGAGGAGGAGATTTGAGATCATAGTGCTGTTAATATTTTCTGGTTGTTCTAGCACTGCAAATTAACCTGTGAGCACGTGCAAAGTTCTGCTAGCCATTGATAAGGCCAGGGCTAGGACTAATAGAGCGATATGGGAAGGAAATTGTGGTTGGCAAGAGAATTGCCAGCACTGTTGCTAAGGGGTATATTTAATGAGTCTTCCAGAACTACAGATAGGTGGGCTATTTCCTTGATCATAGAATGTAGTTGTTGCTTCTCTCTTCTTGGACTCTTTCTTGCATTGCTGTTTGCTTACTAAACGAATTATTTTCAAAAATAGATTTACTTCTGGGAATTTCTTCTTCACCTTCTCCAGGGCCAGCAGCAGGCTCCCCAGGTTCAGCAAGCTGGGATGGGACCAGCAGCTTCTCAAGGAATGGGGTCTGGAGCGCCAACAGCAGATCCAGAAAAACGCAAACTCATTCAGCAGCAACTGGTTCTCCTCTTACACGCTCACAAGTGCCAGCGTCGAGAACAGGCCAACGGGGAGGTGCGACAGTGCAACCTCCCTCATTGCCGAACCATGAAGAATGTCTTGAACCACATGACACACTGTCAGGCTGGCAAATCTTGCCAGGGTAAGTGCAGGAGTGGTTATATGGATAGGTTCAACATTTGAAGAAGGAAAAGGGCTCCTAGAAAGAGATGAACTAGTGGGTGGCTTGGGAAATAGAATTTTGTTGACTTACCTGTCTGCTTTTAAAGACAGGATCTGCAAGTAGGAGTCTACCTGTCTCCCTTAAGCTGAAGAGATGAATCTTGAGCAATAACTAGCCATGAATTTGGCTGCTTCTGGCACTGGCAACCTCTCTGTTCTAGTAGCTAACTAAAATGTAGGCTACCTTTTTGGTAGCCTAGGCTCATCTGGATTGTGCCAGCTGTTTGACATTTCATTTGGGTGGTACAGTCTGTCTGATGCCTGAGCTATATGGCATTACCCTTTAAGCCAAGGAGGCATAGTCTTGGGTGTATCACACTGAGCTTTCAAGTAAGCTTTAGTTGAGCCAATAGTACTTGAAAAAATCTAACTACATTTTCAGAGCTAGTTAGTGCTGAACTATTTCAAGCAATACTTTACTGACCTGTGTTGATACAGATGTGTGCTCTGAGAGAAAATGTTGCTCCCTACCCAGTTTGTGTTGACCATGTGGAGATACTGGCAGTAGTTTCTAAAAGTTTTTCATTCCCTCTCTTTCTCAGTGGCACATTGCGCGTCTTCCCGACAAATCATCTCGCACTGGAAGAATTGTACAAGACATGACTGTCCTGTATGTTTGCCTCTCAAAAATGCTGGGGACAAAAGAAATCAGCAATGTAAGTCTATTGAGGAATTCTGTGTATTGAATAAACCATAAAATGCATGTTGGGAGTTAAACTTCCTTGCACCCATGTGGTAGTGGTTATGCTTTCAAACCTGGGAACATGTAATACGAAATTTTCCTCTTGTTTTAGTCCCCGAGTATTTTTCTGGCTCTGATAGGTAGTGTTTATGAAAGTTTTCCAGTGGTAAGGGGAACAATTCATAACTCTCTCAACCAAATGATTGGCTCTTCACTAGCACTTCTTCCAGCTGGATGGTTTCTGGAGACAGATGTGCGCACACACACACATTTTGTGTCATTTCAGCCCTGATATTTGGTTCTGTCTTTATTCTTTGTTTGTATCAGATGTAACTTGCCCCTTCTCTTTGTGTCCCCTTGAGTTCCCTGCCAAAAAGTTTGGCAAGATTTTTACCGTTGTGTTACCTATGTGGTTTTTCTCTCTCATTTCTTTAATGTTCTTATGGGGTCTTCTCATGACTATATGTGAGCCTAGATATTTCTTGGTTAAAGAAAATTTAAAAAAAAAAAAAAAAGAGGCATTGCAGTGGCTGCTGGTGGGGGTATGTACCCTTCTGACATGTCTCTCTGACATGGTGTGCCTCTGTTTTCGGTTTGAAGCAAAGAGATGTGTCCTAAATACTTGAGTTGGGTTTCCTCTGAGTAGCACAAAGGGAAAACAGCATGTTGTTGGACCGGCTGGTTGTGTCAAAACTTGTCTCTCTGTTTCATGGGCCAGGTTTTCCAGATCTAGACCATTCACTGCAGGCTTCTGGAAGCAGATGTTTTGGTTCTGAGCAGCCAGTGTGCTCTGTGTTTCTCCGTACTCATAGACCTCTTTGGCTACCTTCTGCTGTCCTTATTGACTTGGTGTGTCTCTTCCAGCGCTGCTGGGCGGAGCTGCGGTTGGACTTGCAAATACGGGCTCTGTGGGCGTGGGGCAGCAGACAACACCCAGCATAAACACTACCAGTCAGATAGACCCCAGCTCCATCGAGAGAGCCTACGCAGCCCTCGGACTGACCTATCAAGGGAACCAGATGCAGACACAGCCCCAGGCTCAAGTGAAGAATCAGCAACAGGGACAGTCACCTCAGGGTCTGCGCCCTATGAATCCTATGAGTAAGTTTATCTGTTAGTGTTAAAATGCAAACTACCAGCAACTTTCCCATGCTACATCTAATGCAAATTTCCTTAACCTACTAGCTTAGTACTGCTAGCTAATTTGCGAAAGGTATGGCTTTTGCGATATTTTACACTTGAGATAGTAAGCTACTCAGTGGAACAGGAACATTCAGAGGGCCAGGTGCCTTCACCTGGAAAACAAGTTCTCTGGAAAAAGTAGTTTCTTTGGAAAAATTATATTTTTTTTTTCAGAACCAATTTTCCAAGGCACTTTTTTTTTTATTTTGTGTAGCTTTATAATTGCACAGTAATGTAAGTTTTGGGCTATTGGGGAGTTTTTAATTGGATATGCATACATTGGAATGCCAGGATTCAAGTGTACTTCCTTGTCACTCAGAACGCAGCTTTTACATTTGTATCTCAGACATGTAATATTTGTTTTAAAAATGAAAAATAGGAGATAACTGGCACTCTCCCTGAATCTTGTCATGTGGTTTCATGTAACTGTAAATTGTCTGGATGGCTTATTGCAGCATTATGAAAGTCTGGATAAGAATTTTAATTTGAAGTGCAGTTTATTTGACACCAGTGATAGCCAGGTTCCAATTAAGTCACCTTTAACCATCAAATCTAAGTTTGATAGTTTGAGATTACATCACAGGATTTTTTCCTCACTGCTCGCTATTTGCTTGAATTGCATAAGTAGATGTGGCTTTTTTAACAGAAAAGATGAAAGATGAGCTCACAGTGATTTATCACAAACTTTTATAGCTTTGCAGTGATCCTGCCTATGTGCCTCATGACAAGCTTGTTCAATCTCTTGGAATAAGAGATTGCAGAGGAAAGAAGCAGTTGGTTGCAGGCTGCATTTTGATGTGTGTTTCTGCACCAAAAGGAATGCTACTCCTGAGTTACTCAGGAAAAGGCTGTCAGGTAGACTAGACTTGTTAATGAGATGACTGGCCATCATAGTTTGTGTGTGACTTGTGTACTGCTAAAACTTTGGCTTCCAATGTGTAAAAACCTTTTTTAAAAAAGAAGGGGAGGGGAATGGTCCTGAGAGCTTAGTCTGAAAACAGTTGGATTAAAATAATACAGTTTTCTACTGTGCATTAAGAGTGTTTTACAAATAGGTGAATTTCTAGAAGCTCCAAAATGTTATAGTGAGGGTCTTCAAAGGTTGTAAGGAATGTGATTCATTTTTCTGAAGCAAAATGGTTCAATTTTTTTTATGCATGTAATTATTTATAGACAGTTCTATGCAATCTTAGCAGGTATTCCCTGTAGAACTATTTAGAAAATCCAATGAAATGGGATTGCAGAAAGCTCTTGGGGAAGGAAGAACTACAGCTTAATGTAGAAAGGACAAGCATGGAGAGTGTAGGGCTTTGACTGTTATTTCCTTATAAGGAGCAGGAAAAGGAATTACAACAGGTGAGACAGGAATTACAACAGGTGAGACAGGCCTACAGAACAACAGGGCTGGTTTGAGAGAAACAGCAGGATTTGGTGAGGACTGCAATGTGAAAAGATGCAGTTCTAAGTGGCTCAAACAAATGGTGGGTGTTGGCAGTTGAAAAGGGAGACTTAAGGTAAGGGTTGACAGTTGTCTTGCATACCAGCATGCTCTCAGATGGCAAAGTGAGTTTGGGAAGGAGAAGAAAGGGACTAAGGGAAGGGAGACTTGGAGGCAGCTGTATGAAAAAATCTGTTAAGTACTTGGTTGTGATGTTAGAGGTATGTATTAGGCTTGGTATACTTAATTTCAGTGGATTTCTCACATATACAGTGTGTAATTTGGCTTGAAATAAAGATTCTGTAGGATTCAGATGTCCTAAATACATGTGAAGCCTGGTAATGGCTTTCATGCTACTTGCAGCTTCAAAAAGTGATCTGTTTGGAAGTTCCAGACACAAGTATGCTGCATTTTTCTGTGCTATTTGAGACTTAACTGTAGTGTGTGAAGAAAATGGGCCTTTTTTTAATGGTGATTAAGATCTGGTGTGGTTCAGAAAATCAGATTTTGTCACATAACAAATTAGTAGAGGTTTTTCCTGCAAAGGATTGTCAGATTTTCGTTCTTACAAGCATAGGAGTTAGTTGTAGGATCATTAAGTATGGAGTGGGTGAGAGGGGGACCTTGTCACATGTAGGTGGTAACTGATGTTTTAAATTCTTGAAGCCTTAGTGAATATATATATCCTAAGCCCCTGAATGACAAAAAACCCCAGCTGCTTCTAAACAAAAATGCAGAAGTGGTCGATAACGCTAGATCTTTAGTTAGAGACTCACAGAAAGGACTCCGGGATATAATGTTTGCAACAAGAGGTTAAAGAGAGCAACAGGTAAATTCCTTCACAAAAGTCCAAGTACTTGAAAGTCTAGACCCTTGTTATTGCTGAGCAATTACTGATTTTGTACGGTAAATGGGTGCTTCATTTATTCTGTATTTTTTTGTTTTCTAGGTGCTAATCCAATGGGAGTGAATGGAGGAGTAGGGGTTCAACCCCCTAATTTGCTGCCTGACTCAATGTTGCATTCAACCATGAATTCTCAAAAGTAAGTTGAATTCTTTGTACCCCAGTGATTTTATTTTGATCTCATGGCACTTCTTGCATAAACAGTGGGGTAAATGCCATTGATGGCTATCTCTCCCTTTGGATTTTGTAGCTTTTGTTGCAGTTTTCCAAATCCTTGGATAGAACAGCATGTACTCTTTCGTGGCGTTGTTTTGGTGTCTGTGCAGCTATTTCTGCAGAGTTTGTCCATTGATTAGGGAATGGCTGAACTAGCACTTTGTCCTAACATTATTCTAAAAGAGGCTGTGACTGTAAGATGACTAAGCTTGGGCTAGACTTTTGCCCTCAATTCTTGCTCTGTTTTTGAAGCCCCATGATGACTGAAAGCGCCAATGTTGCCAGTTTGGGAGCTATGCCAACAGCTCAACCATCCAATACTGGAATTCGAAAGCAGTGGCATGAAGACATTACTCAGGATCTCCGAAACCACCTTGTTCATAAATTGTGAGTAGCTAATGTGAAAACAATCTCCTGTTAGGTGAGTTGCTGCCCCTGAGGTGTATTTAGGGGGCAGAAGGAAGCCTGACTTGCAAAACTAGAGGGCCAGGGAGTGAATTTTGTCAGGATGCATGAGAACAGAATGCAGAAGCCCAAAAGATAGAGCTACATCTGCTGATTTGGAGTTGTTGTATTGGAAGTTTCCCACTCTGTACTCAAGCCATCTACATGGGGCCGGTGTACCCTGGGAGCAGTAGCAGTGCTGCAGTCTGTCAGAAGATTTACTACTTTGTGTTCAAACCACTGGGGTTAGTGCTGGTGTGGGGATGTCCTAATCACTTCCATGCATTTTTTTAATATTTTTTCCCCCCCCCTCAGAGTCCAAGCCATATTTCCTACTCCTGACCCTGCAGCACTGAAGGATCGGCGCATGGAGAATCTGGTGGCATATGCACGGAAAGTGGAAGGAGATATGTATGAATCAGCGAACAGCAGGGTGAGGTGCCATCCCGTCATCTAGTTGTGTGGATCTCTGCCTTGATCCCATGGTGACTGAGGAGGAGTGAAAGCACAGATGAGACTCCCAGGCTGAGGAAGCATGTGTTTAGCTGTTGCTGGATGGGGTCTAGGAACCAACCAACTGCAGGCTGCTGCCTGGGTGTGCCAGGAGTTAAGGTGTGCTTGTGACTGAGACTTCTTAGGGTCCCCTGAAGGCAATGTTGAAGCTCTTCACTGTGATTATCCCAGAGAAGTGTTGGACGCAAGAAGAGAAATGTTTGGTGTTGGCCTAAATAGTTGAGAGCAGTGCTCCGAGCAGTGCCTCTTTTGTCCTCCTATCTGTCTGACAGCCCCTGCAAGGGGAGAGGCCTCCCACAAGCCAGAATGTGTGTGCGTGTAAGGCTGCTTTGCGTTTTAGAATCACTGGAACCTCTTTGTTGCCTTTTCCTAATGTATGTGTCATCTCCTTTCCTGACTTGTACTTCCCCCCAACAGGCGGAGTACTATCATTTGCTAGCAGAGAAGATCTATAAGATTCAGAAGGAATTGGAGGAGAAACGAAGAACCAGGTTGCAGAAGCAAAACATGATCCCAAATGCTCCAGGCATGCCACAGGCTCCCATGAATCAAGGGCCCAATATGGGACAGCCACAGCCAGGAATGTCTGCAAGTAAGAAGAGTTGGTTTACTGACTACCTGGTGCAGGGAAATCTTGTATTGTCATTTTGGTGGGCTGGTGACCATTTAGCTGTTAATGGGTACTTGCTCAAAGTTAAACAACTTTCTCCTCTTTATTCAGAAGTATTTGCAAAGTCTTTGCTTTGCTTATGTGTTAATTAATGGCCACAAATTATGTAAAAACAGTGTTTCAAACAGATTGAAATACTGTAAACTTTTAGGCTTACTTTGAGGATGGAGAGAGTGGAGATTAAATTGCATCCTTAATGTTGTAGAACTTCAGTCTCATTAGATTCACCTCTAGAATTAATTGATTTAAAGGTAACTTCAGTTGCTATAAGAGAAATATATTTTCATAAATATTTAGCAGTATAGTGTTCAGAATGATCATCACTATTATTGTTGCTAAACAGAGTATGAGGATTGGAGTACTTATGTATTTATGCCTTTGAAAGTTTAGTTAGTGCTTGTACAGTGGTTCGTAGAAGTTCTTGCAGTCTGGAATGTTTGTGAACTACTGTTCATTGTCGTACCTTGAAAACATACTTCAAATTTGTCCTCAGTTTCTGAAAGCTAAGTCAGAGGATATTTCTATCGATGGGACATACTTATATTTTTAAGGAAGTTTTTTGGGTTTGCCTCACATTTGGAGAACATTTTTGAGTGTTTAGTAACTGGACTGCATACATTTATTTTTTTGTATTTGTATATTTTTTTACATGTGGATTTAATGTGTAATTCTCAGTAAAATGTTTGGTGGATAAATCCTGGTGGTCTTTTGAATGACATTAACTTATTTCAATATCTTTTTTCCAGATGGTCCTCTTCCTGACCCAACTCTGATACGTACCAATGTGCCAAACCAAATGATGAATCGCATGCAGGCACAGCCAGGTAAATATTTGAAGAAAGTTGGCTACTGTGATTTTTGAAGCAATCTTGGGATTGGGCAGCTCTTGCTGAAGTGTCATAGACCTTGTTTCATGTGTGGTTTTTCCATTTGGTTAAGAAAATAGCTATATTTTATAATGTTTGCATAACTATATAATATATATAAAACACTAATAACATTTCATGATTTTGTGAATTTGAGCTGCACATTAGCTGCTTGCTTTGTTAAATAAAGAGCTTTTGGAACTTCTGATCATGTGTACATGGGATGGTGGGGTCAGTCAAACATAGTGAGCCCAGCCAGCTCATGTTGGTAGCAAAGAGAATGTGGTGAGAATTGTTGCTTATAAGAATGGGGTAAAACCTTTGTTACACATTCAAGACGTGTTATAGCCAACATGCAAAGTATGGGAGGAAGTGAAGATACAGTTTGAGATTCAATAAGTGAATTTCTAATATCTACTTAAGACAATGCAACTTTCTGTAGAAAGTTGACCTTCAACAGTAGGTGTGACATTTTTCATTATTTGTGGTGTATTCCAGTAGTTCTCTAACTTACAAGTTTTGGAAACAAGTCATTCAAGGGGAAAAAACTTCTGTATTCTGAAGGAGTATGGTAGTTTGGACACTATATTTAAAATTATTCCATGTAATTAATTGATAGAAGGCAATATGCTTGAAAACTGCTTGCTAGGAAGTAGAATTAGGAAGAAAGGAACAGCATTTCTTCTCCAAGTGTTGAATGGTGGCCAAAGGAGAATTCAGACCTTTGTTTATAAGTGGTTTTTTGCACAAACTCGCAGGAATGAATCAGTTTGGCCAGATGAACATGCAGCTGTCACCGATGGGACCCCGGCAAACCCCTCCTCTTCAGCACCCTGGACAGCTAAGTCAGGCTGGGGCCATGAACCAGGTCAGTGTGCCTTCCCTCCAGGGTGTTGAGCTTGCAGGTTTGCTTCTCTAGTCTGTGGCTTCCTTAAAAAAAACAAAAGAAATTTAAAAATAAATCAAGGATCACTTTATTCTCTTGGCCCTTTGGTTTCTGCCTTTTGCATCTCCTCTCAAAGATCTGTCTGATCTATGGCAAACCTTTAGATCCTTGTAATAAAAATTGCCTAAAAATTAAGTTGAAGTGACTTTTTGCTGCCTCCTTAGAACAAGGATCAAAAATCTTAAGTCACAGTCCCAATTTGAAATCAATAACCTTTTACTTAGCTTATAAGATAAATTATCATAATTCCTGGAGCCATAAGCAGCCTTTGCATATTGTATCCTATAGATAAGTGGCAAGCATCAGCTTCTGCAACAGGATAAATGTTTGTTTTGGGCTTTTTTTGTAAAATGCTACGGAGGTATACACACATTGTGTGAAATGAGTTCCTTTCTTTTTCAACAGATGGGATTTTCTTCACGTATGCAGCAACCAGGAGTTGGCCAACCTTCTGGTCAGAATCAGTTTCTACAACAGACCCAGTTCCCTTCTTCTTCCCCGGGAATGAACACAGCAAGCATGCCTATGACTCAGCCTGGCAATCAGACACCAGTCTCTCAAGTAAGTTTCTGATTTCTGGAAGTGGTGTCAGTGGGCTTTGTCATATACAGGTTACATTTGTTCAGTTTGTTGTAATGGAGAACAACTTGTTTTCTCAAGAGATGTTTGGAATTATAATCAACTGAATTCATTTATTGAGACTCTACATTTTCCTGATGTAGGGCTGGGAATGGCAAGGGTGAAACATTGACTGGTTCTCAGGCTTAACTTTAAGTGTTACAGAGGAATTGTTTTAGGTTTGTTTTTATGGAGCAAAGAAGAAATTGTGACTCAGCATACAGTAGCTAAGAATCTCTTGCTGAACAGCGAAGCAGCAGAGCCTGAGAAATTAAGAGGTGGCAGAATAAGTCATAAAAAGGCACGTCTATCCAGGACCAATATGTGTTGCTGGCTTTGGGGGATTAGGAGGGTTGTCACTACTAAAGATCTAAACTTACAGTCTAGCAGTTTCCTTTCTGTCCTTTCCCTCTCCCTTTTCAGCAAGAACCTTTCAGGCCAGGAAGAAGTAGGGAACGTCAGTTTGCTTCTCACTGATGCTTCTTCCTAGTTTGCAGGCAAGATTATTGTGGAGTTACAGTTTTATTTCCTTGACCAATACAATTTTTTTTTTTGGTAATTTTGTAATGGTAGAGTTACAGCTGTACTTATTTGTGATGATAAATTCAGTTTCTAGTCTTGGGGGTGGAGGCATGGGCACACTAAGTGTACTTGAATGCAGTTTTTTCACTGTGGTGCATTGTCCCATATTCAGGATGTAAAAATCTGCAGTTTTAGAAAGAAATGCTTGGCGAACTGAGAGTGTTGGTGTGCCATTCTTTAAATATATCAACAACTATAAGTTTTTCTATTGAAACTTCTCTAAAAGAGATGACTAAATTATTGAACAGCCTTATGTTTGTGTAGACAAAATAAATCAAATAGACCATTTCTGCTTTTGAAAGAGCTTTTAAAAATGAAGCTGATAGTCACATTTTTTAAAGCATGCTGTGAGAAAGCAGCCATTTGACAGTAATTTCTCTTGCTTTTCTGTAGCAAATGTGCTACATAGCAAATATATACCTGTTTTCCCATAGGCACAAATGACCAGCGCTTCCTGTCCTGTGAATTCTCCTGCAATGGCTCCAGGTTCTCAAGGGAGCCATATTCACTGCCCACCTCTTCCACAGCCTCCCATGCACCGAAATTCTCCTTCTCCAGTACCTAGCCGAACCCCAACACCTCACCACACGCCCCCAGGCTTGGGATCACAGCAACAGCAGGCAGCAGCGGCTGCCACTACTGCCCCGACACCTGCTCCTCAGGCAATGCCACCTGGACCACAGTCCCAAACTATGCACCCCCCTCAAAGACAGACTCCAACTCCTCCACAGGCACAGCTGCCTCCACAAGTCCAGCCTCCGGTTCCAGTTACCCCTTCTGCAGAGCAACAGCAGCAGCCCTTGTCACAGCAGAGCACGACTGCATCTGTTCCCACACCAACAGCACCACTGCAGCCTCAGCACCCCACAACACCTGTAAGGAAATACTTTAGTTTTGCTTTCCCTGCAAATGTTTAAGTGGAATGTTTAATCTTCAGTTGTGGTGGGTTTTTTTATTATTTTTGTGCTCCTGTCATGTTTAATCTCAAAATAGGGTATGTTTTTGTATTTTTCCATCAAGACAAGTCTGTAGATCATCTGGTGTTTCCAGAGAGGGAATATTTTTCAGAATTCTAGTGCATGTTTTGAATTTCACTGTCAACATGGATGAGGTTTTTGGTTATGTCTACCTATGCATAGTGCTTGTATGCAACAGGGAGACAATGTCACTTTCTGTATACTAGGCCTTCCAGTGCATGTTTCTAATGCATGTTTTTCTATAGTTGAAGTTGAGGGGAAGCAAATATAAGGACTAGAGTGCATTTAAACTTGGTGGAAATGTAATATAGGTAAAATGTAGATTAGAGGAAGAAAAATAAGTTAATTAGAAGCCTATTTGTAATGTGTGTTTTGTTCCCTCAGCTTTCACAGCCAGCTGTAAGCATTGATGGGCAAGTATCCAACCCCCCATCTACCAGCAGCACGGAGGTGAACTCTCAGCAGACTGTTCCAGAGCAGCAGCAGCCACCCTTGCAGGAAGTGAAAATGGAGATTAAAACAGATGAAGGGGAACCAGAGCAAACAGAGCTGCAAATGGAAGAGAAATCTGAGGTGAGATTGACCAGATGTTGGTTCGAATATCTTCCTAGTGCTGCTAGATGCTTTGTCTCCGTGCAAGTCATTTTTTCCAGAGTTCAGTGAGAGCTGTAGGTGCTACTTGCTGCTGCAGTTTTGATTGTCTTCATCTTATTCCTAAAGAAGGGTCTGTGTTTTCTGGTGAAATTGTGGTAGAAGCCAGTGGCCACAGGAAGGGACCCTTGGTAATGTGGTTGCAGCTGTGAGGCTTTGCTTTGGTAAATGCCAATGTGGAAATGCACTCGTGTCAGTCCTACAGCTGTTAAAATAGCAGATAGCAGGATGAGAGGAAATTGGCTTCAAGTTGTGCCAAGGGAGGTTTAGATTCGATATTAAGAAAAATTTCTTCACTGAAAAGGTTATCAAGCGTTGGAACAGGCTACCCAGGGAAGTGGTTGAGTCACCATTCCTGGAGGTGTTAAGATGTGTAGATGTGGCACTTAGGGATATGGCATAGTGGTGGTTGTGCAGTGCCAGGTTAATATTGGACTCAGCCTTAAAGGTCCTTTCCAACGTAAATTATTCCATATGTACGTGATGGGCTGCTTTACTGGGCTTGGACAGCTTGTCACCAAGGACAGCTGGGATTGTGGCTACCAGTAGTGTCATCCTGGCAGCCCTGGTACGAAACACTGTTAGAACTGCCTGAAGAGCTGGAAGGTTACCCATGTGTCTACTTGGAGCTCAAACTTGCTACTACTACAGTGTTTAAAGATGCTTTCTAACACACTTGCTCGAGTTTTAGGCAAGTTTTGAGTACAGAGAAGATACCTTTAATCTTAGGAAAAAGTGGTGAGCAGGATGACAGATAGGTTTAAAGGACAGAAACATGGATGAGTGGCCTCCCAGAAGACTTAAGTGACAGGTTCTAAACTACTTTCCAGGTTAAAGTAGAGCCAGTCGTGGAGGAATGTAAACCAGACCCAATGGAGCAAGAAGAGAAGAAACCTGAAATGAAGACTGAAGTACCAGAGGGGGAAGAAAGACCTACTACTCCAGCTACTCAGTCTTCTCCGGCAGCTGGGCAGTCTAAGAAAAAAAGTAAGCAGGAACACTGTTTTGACTGAAATTCATTGCATCTCCCTAGAGAAATCTTGTGGGGTGGAGGAAAACCTGGGCTTTCTTTTTTGGTACTTAGTAGGCTTATATGGATTGTCCTTTGTGACTTTTGGACAAAAATATCTAATAATACATGTGTTTATAATTGCCTTTGGGCAAGTTCTTTAAGGCTTTAGAATTAGACACTAAGCCTTAGTAAAATTGTCAATACAGTAGAGATTTGAAATACTCAGTTACAGATTTTCTAGACATGTTTTTTTCTTGGGGCCTCAGAGAGATGCTGTATCTGGAATGTAAATCATCTCTGCTCATTTTAGCAATGGCTTCCTCTGATCTCTGCGTGTTCAGGTGATTGTTTTAATATCCTCCTCAGAACTCAGTGTTACAGAGGATAAACAAGCCTTGCTAAGTACCTTAAACCCATTGTCTGTAGCCTTTTTTCCACAGACCTCACATTTTCCAGTAGATTTCTTCCTTACAGCTGTTTCTGCTGTTTTTCTAATGTTGATTGTTTTTCAAAGTTTTCAAGCCAGAAGAGTTGCGGCAGGCGCTTATGCCAACACTGGAGGCACTTTACCGGCAGGATCCAGAGTCTCTCCCATTTCGGCAACCTGTGGATCCCCAACTACTAGGAATTCCTGTGAGTGCCTTAGCAAGATGCTTTCCTGGCTTTAATTCAAAGCTACTGTATTTTGACATAGCTGTTTAAGAAGAGCTTAAGTCTGTCTTGTTAACATCCTTATACTGATGTGTTTGGAGAGTTTTGGCTTAGGAGTGGAACATAAAATGTTTGACTTAGGAAAGTTTGTTTGGTTTTGTGTTCCTCTTGATAAATAAGCAGATATGCCATACATTGAAGTGATTACCAAGAGATCCCCAGTGCTGTGTGGGCTTTTTATGATTGTTGCTTCATGTTGCATTGCTTTTATTGCTGAATTTTATAGGTACCTCTCATGTATAAAACTTGTCTGAAGACATGGGAAATTAAACTGATCAAGACCACTTAAAAAAAAAATCCATCAAGAATATCTGTTATAGGAAAGGAAAGGACTCTTCAAGTTATAGGCTTTGTTTAGGTTGAATTTTCTGCTTATTTTACAACTGTCTTGAGAAGACAGTTATTGTTCAAGGATCTGTGTTTTAAAGTCTCCACATTGACCACACAACTTCAGTATATATAAATAAACATGTATATGTAGAAGTCCTGCTTAGATGCCTCAGGCAACATTTTTTGCCTGGAAGATATTTTGTTTGGGTTTGGAGGTTTTTTTGGTTTTGTTTGTTTGTTTTGTTTGGGGGGGGTGTTTTGTGGTGGGTTTTTTTAATATTTTTTTATATTTGGGGTTTTTTTTATTTTTGTTCGAATTTTCACAGACACTGGAAAATTCAAGATCTACAGTATTACAGGCATTTATATATTTGCTAATGTTTTTAACAAACTTTCTGTCATATTCTGCAGACTTTTGTAGGAGAAGTTGCCTTGTAATTGATGGTGGATTGGACAAAGACATGGAGGAGTCATAATATCTTTTATCATAGAATAAAGTTATTTGGTTTTGTTACGTTATCTGGTCTATTAAAACCAAATGCTTTCTATTAATGCTTTTGTGTATATCTTCAGATCACAATGGCTGCAAAAACATTGCCATTTTCTACTTTTTGTAATACTTGTTTTGCTGATTAAAATTAGAGTGGCTTTATTTCATCAGGAGTGAATGAGAAACAGCAGCTGAGAAATAAAGGAATAATGAAAAGAAAGCACTGGGGAATGATATGTATTACTTAGAGATTGCATTATGTGTGTCACAAGCAGTTTGACAAGTCATGGAAGAACCTGTTTTTCTTGATGAGAAGAATTTATATGCTGAGAATGCACATGCTGTCATGTCACAATGTAGTTCTGTAGTAGTGTTTTGATATGCTGCGTATTCTTGCAGGATTATTTTGACATAGTGAAGAACCCCATGGACCTTTCTACTATCAAGAGAAAGCTGGACACAGGACAGTATCAGGAACCATGGCAATATGTAGATGACATTTGGCTCATGTTCAATAATGCCTGGTTGTATAACCGCAAAACATCCCGGGTGTACAAGTACTGTTCCAAACTGGCAGAGGTGTTTGAGCAAGAAATTGACCCAGTTATGCAGAGCCTGGGCTATTGCTGTGGAAGAAAGGTAAGAAAATAAATATCTTCAGTCAGCTTGCTTGCTTCCTTGTATTGAAGGGGAAAAATATGGCAGTTGCACTTGTTAGCAGTTATAGTGTGTCAAAAATTCTGAAAGTTTTCCGGGATTTAGCAATCCTGAGTAATCTGATTTTTGGGGGGTTTATGGATCTTCTATCTAGTGCTTAAATCATCTATTTGTATATAAGCCCTTTGGAGGGAAACTGAAGTAACTGAAGCCTTATTTTGATTAAAGTGAACCCTTTTGCTATTGCAAATTAAGCAGATGTGTCTTTATTACTGCAGAAGTGCTGTATTTCACTGTATATTGAGACTATGTATTTCCATTGTCTTGTTTCGATACTCTTTGTCTTTGTAGAAGAGCTAACTTGAGAGTAACAGCCCACTGAATGGTTTTTATGACTAGCTTTTCATAGACGTAGCTGTACAGAGAGATCTGTGCACAGAGTAAGGTGCAAGTGTGCATTGTCTGGGTCACACTTGCTTCCCACGGAGAGCAAGTGACAACACGTATGAGTATTAAGACAAGACATTCCTCTTTGCAGTTGGAGTTCTCGCCACAGACTTTGTGTTGCTATGGCAAACAGCTATGCACGATCCCTCGAGATGCCACTTACTACAGTTACCAGAACAGGTAAGGAAAGCTCACTTGGTGCGGTGTTGTGCATGCTGCGATCAATCTGTTACAGGTGTGCATGTATTTACATAGACACCCTCTTTATATGTGTATGCCTTTGTGTTTTAAGATAAAAACTTCTGCTGGAAGTGCTCTTGAATAGTTTGCCTTGTGTGTTAATAATGATTTCTTTCTGCGAAGTTCACTGCAGCCTTTGCTCTTCTTTTGTTTACAGAAATGTGATGTTTTACTACATTTTTATCCTGCAATTAATTAAATCTTCAGTGTACCTAAAATCATACATACAAGTCTGTTGCCTTTACTTCCTATTATGCAGCAGTATTTTTCATGCAGAACACTGAGTAAACTATGCAGCAAGTATATTAATGCGCATAATACATATTATTCTTGACAAGTCTGTTTTTTCTCGAGGTGTTAACACTGAAGAGCAAACTTACTTTTGAATTGCACATCTTAATTGGAAGATCTGTGTATTCAGATCTTCAGCAGATTGATGCTTGCTTTTTCTCACGAAGTTTCCTAAAGGGAATTGTCTCAGCCGTAGCTGTCAGTAACTCTGTAAAATGCTGTCACTTCTACAGCTCTTTTGAATATCTTTTTTACTTTGAGTTTATTAAAGGATTTAAACCTATTTGACTTCTGAAAGAAAGTTTCTTGCTAGGCATCTCTACCAGCTGGGGAAGTGAGGCAGGAAGAAGCAGGGAAAGTCATGCTTTAACACTGCCGTATTTCCTGGCCTGTCACAAGAATTCATATGATAGAGCAGAGGACTGGTTAACTCCCAACTATGTCACCTCCATCAGTTTATTTAATTCCTGCTTTCTATTCATTCCAAACATTAAACAAACAAACAAAAACCCCAAAGCAAACCAGAACAACAAAAACACTAAGGATTTTACCTGAAAGCCAAGAATATTTTGCAAGAATTGTAGGTTTTTTCAAGCAACTAGTCAGATGAAAGCAACCAAAGAGCTACACAAGTTATATCTTAACTTTTAAAGGCTTTATAAAGGTTTATAGCAGTGACTGGGGGTTTTTAAGCTTATTTCCTACTTTTTCATTCCTATTGTATCCCATAATAATTCCTGTAGTTTTAGACTTATATGTTATGTAGAGCTTTTCATATCGTGTCAGTATCTTCTGCTTATGTTTCTCTGTGGGCAAGTTCTAGATGGACCAAATTACTCAGAAATCTGAGATATTTTATGTGTTTTCAGATATTAGAAGGGAGTGTTTGCACTGTAACAGGTGCATACATGTGTCTTACAGATTACATCATAAATACACATACATATATATCTATTGAATGAAATGTATAATTCCGGAAGTACTGTTCTCTGCGTTATCTCGGATGAAAACCGAGAGAGAGGGTTGGGACCTGTTGTTCTAGCCTAATAGCTGCTATATTATTGGTTTGTGTGGCTTTATAATGAACTTGTTTGAATTTTCTTTTATTTCTTTTTATTTTTAGCTGTCTTATGCACTCAATTAACATGCTTTAGTGATAGAGAAGCCACAGTTTTAGAACATTTTTGAGGTCTAGGGTAGAATCTTGAATTAATCTCTATTCAAGTACAAATGAAATAGTTCTCTAATGCTTGCTGTAGTGATGGCTAGAACTGTTCTAGCAAACTGGGCTATGGCAGAATCATATCCATGTAGAGCATTATGTGTGTAGTTAATGTTAACATAGAGTTTAACAGTTCTATTAATTGGTCTGTAAGAATTTTCAGGACAGGCTTTATTATTCTTGAAGTTTCTTATGTTTAGCTTTCCCTTTCAAATGGGAGAGAATCATGTGACTTTTCAGCATTTATACATTTAAGATGGAAGACTGTCCCTCTTCCATTGATCTCCTGCAGATCCTCCTGCCAACAGAACTGCTGTGCTGATGTACAAGTCAGAGTAGCAGTTCCTCCTTCCTTCTGCTCTTTCCCCCTGTCTCATTTTAATTCTTTGCTGTACGTGGCATGGATTATTAAAATGAAGAGGGTATGGGTATGCTAAAATGGAATACTCTTGTTTAATTTGTTTTAATTGTTTGCTGCTTGTGAACCCATTTGAGATTTAATGCTAATCTGTGCTTTGCCTTGGCTTTCTGCTTTGTGTTGTCTTGTCCTGCTTCTATGTTTTTGTTTTTGTCCTGCAAACCCCCATTTCTTTGTTTGTGTGTGTGTATTATTTTTTTAATTTCTCCTTCATGCTTGTCATTGTCTGCACTTGGCTTGATTGCGCAAAAAAACAAAAAAAAAAATCCAAACCAAAAAACCAAACCAACCAAACTCAATGTGGGGCCCATAAATCTGCATCATTGAATATCCTTGTCGCCGTTGATGACCTGCTCTCTGCTCCTGTCCCTTCCTTGGCCTGCTGTGATTGGTGGCTCCGTTGCTTGACTTGGGCTGTGTTGTGTGGACGGAGCAGTTCACCCAAATATGGCCTTCTTGCTGACAGGTATCATTTCTGTGAGAAGTGCTTCAACGAAATCCAAGGGGAGAGCGTTTCTCTGGGAGATGACCCATCACAACCTCAAACGTGAGTTATTTATGTTTGCTTGGGCCGTGCATTCATAAGCTGTATCATGGCCTACAGGGCTTTCTCAAAGGGAAGGAGTTTAGCTTTAGGTTTTTAGGCTACTAGAAGGAGGACAATATATTCTTCATAAAAGCCTCGACTTGTGCTTTTCTTTAAAATCTGGACTGACCAAACTAGTGAAAAATAAGCACTTAGTGCTTAAAATTGCAATTCTACCAATAGAGAGGAAAGAAGAAAATGGCTTTTTCCCTGAGAAAAAGTGTAAGTATTGTACTGCAGAAAAATAACCATGCCTGCAGGCGAGTAGGTGACAGACATAGCTTGAAATGTCAAACGTACCATTTTCTTTATACACTGGCTATGCTATTAAACTTGTATTCAACATCAGGTTGTTTTTCATCCAAATCAGAAGCAGGCAACCTACTTCTGCCATACAGATCTTTCACTGTTGCAGTACCATCTGCTTATGAGAAATGTTGTGCAGTTGTTGAGAACATGGTAAAAGTCTGTGCATAGCTTTAGTTTCCTTTTACTGTGTTGGTGGCAAACCGTTGGGAGAGTCTTTGATTTTGCTGTACCCTCCTCACACCTACCCCCCAAAAAAAGCTTGAAACAAAATTTTGGGAAAATGCTGTAGGGATGGTAAAGATAGTGTATATAGTAATGGCTGGGCTGGGGTTGCAGGGTTTGGAAGCTGAAATACATCCTTTGAAGTTAATGTTGGAGGAGAGCTAGGGGAATCTGAAATGAGATAACTTACCTCAGTAATTAAAGATAATTAGAATTCTCTGTCTGCAGAGTATGAGAGCATATCAAGTAGTCTTTTCACTATTAAATACTGATCAGACCCATCCAAAACTTGAATGTCAGCAAGCTTTAACATTCATCCTGTAGTAAAACTGAATAAGGGAGCAATGTTGTTCTATACAAGCCATTGTCCCATAAAAAATGTTTTCCACAGAGAGAGTTGAGTACATATACTTTAGTTGTCTGTCACTGTGTAAAATACAACTCCTTCCTTGTAGTGCCAGTGAGTGTTTAAAAAAATCTCCTTGCAAGTTTTGTGGATAGGTGTGGTATGGCAGAATGCTTGTTGTCTTGCGTTAAAACTGAGTTTTATTGCCTGTTTCTCCTTAGCACGATAAACAAAGAACAGTTTTCAAAAAGGAAAAATGATACACTGGATCCTGAACTGTAAGTATTGCTGTTGCACTTCGAATGATGCTTATTTCATTATAATTGTTTTGTAAGAGGTATGTTATTTACTCACAGTCAGCTTTGTCTTTCAATGTTTTCCAATTTCATGTAGCTCTGTTAGCTGGCAGGGGCTGCTCAGTAAGCAGCATATCTGGCATTCTGTGCTGAGAACCCAAACCACAGCACAGCTGTACTTTGGAAATACATAGCACTGGGTGTATGTGCTGAAATTACTCCATTTTGTTGTCTTGCATGTAGATTCGACAGAAGGATGAATGCAGATAGCTCTGCTTTGAAACTGTATGGTAAATGCTGAAGTCTCAGAACTGATTTGAGTCAATTGGCAGTAGCTGTTGGTGCTGGTTTTTTCTAGCAGTTGTATGTTACAGGCCTATACTAGAAGGAAAAGTTGTTAAGTTTTGAATCAGCCAGTTCTCTTCTGTACTGTTCTGGAATCAGAACTGTAGTCATTCAGTAATGTTAAGATGATGGTGACTCAGCAGCTTTTCTTTATATTCCTGAGAGAGTTTTTTGAAGCTACTTTATGTGGTCCCTCCATTATACACCTATGTGACTACGCTGCGAACATTATCTTCATTCTCAAATGAATCAGCAAAAAGGATATTTATTATTCCCACACCATCCTTTTAAGGGCATAAGAGTCAGCCAATTCTTCTGTTTTACAAAGACCGTGGGAAGGAGAAAATAGTAACTTGATTCATAACTTTCCTTTCCCTTTGTTAAAGTGAAGATAGAGCCTAACACTAAAATATAAGCCTAATTTACAGTATGATACTACATGCTCTATACAGGTTACAACTATTCAATCAAAGTCTCAAACTCATAGACAGTCATGTTCAAAAGGAGTCAGATTGTCCTGATACCTGAAGCAACCTTAGGTATTTTGGGGAATTATATTCACCAACATGTGGGAAGTAGACCATATCACTTACCTCAGTTGTCCTTAAATCTCTGCTAGTCTTCTGAAAGTGACTTGGATATTGCTTCTGTTTTCTTCCTTCCCGCCTTTCTGCAGTATATCTGCAATGTACCCCAGGGTTTGCAGTTTACAGATTTTATCCTTAGAAGGTCTTCACTTTTAAAGAAATGAGTGGATGGCAGTAAGACAAGCAAATAGTAATAATAATGTGTCCCTGCATAGTCTGCCTGATTTGAGCTGACAGGTTCTTAATTCATTCTGGAGGCTGTTCTCAGCATAGATGTACCTTCTATGTTATATAGGCTCAAAAACCTAAATGCTAGAAGTCCTCTAATAAAATATTACAAAATATACAAGCAAGTAATTATACTACTAACCTTTGCTTCCCTTTGCGCTTTTTTTTTGCCTTCTGCAGATTTGTTGAATGTATAGAGTGTGGAAGAAAAATGCACCAGATCTGTGTTCTTCATAATGAGATCATCTGGCCTTCTGGGTGAGAAATTTCTCTTTATTAAGTAGAGAGCATATTTAGTATTTACTATAGCTAGTGCATAAACTTCCTTATATAGGTTATGTTTAAAAGAGTGTCTAATGGAAGAAGTTGCATTCCCTGAAAATTTTACACAATCTATAGGATAACATCAACTTTAGACATCATATCTGACTGTGTTGCGTGTTAAGTTGTTTTTAATCTTTAATGTTTCTAACATTTCTTTGTGTGGAAGAGGGCGTTTCAGCCTTTTATGTTTAAAGACACTAGCCCTTCATGAAAAGATGTTTTTAGTTCAGGTAACAGTTTAAGTGATCTGTTTTCTGTACAAACTATACTGCTTTGTCATTTTCAAAAAAATTTTGTAACAACTGAAGAATTTAGCAGGGGAATTAATTTTTTTTACCTCGGTGATCATATTTAATTTAAAAAACAATATGGTCTTGTTTAGATGCTTCATGGTTTTTGATCAACATACTGGATTTTCTTCTGATTGATTTAAAAGCTTTTCATAAAAGATGTTAAATTATATGTAGGTAAAGTTCTAGAAGAGCTTAAATATGTCATTTCTTGACAAATCTGTGAGAAAGCATTCTGTTGTCCCATCCACATTGCTGTGGAAGAGCGTGGACACACCCTGTAACTGAGGAATAATCATAGAATCATTTCAGTCTATGGTGTATTTGGGCATTAAAAAAAAAATCAGCCTTTTGCTTAGTGTTGTGGTATCTCATCTACATCATAGACAGCAGTTTGAGCCTGACTGCTCCCAGAATACTTCAAGCCACTATTGTTAGACCTGCCAGTGGAGACTGTTTCCTGGGCTTGCAGGTGGTGACATGGGTGACTGACAGGAGATGCAGCCCCTGGAGCTTAGATCCTCCTCTGCAGCTCTGAAACAGTTGAACTGTTTCTGCTGGCACTGTTCTTCATGCTGTCTTTTATTTAAAATTTCAGTTAGTGTATTTTCCAGACCAGATAAGTTCTGGTGAAAGATTTTGCTTCTAATGGTAAGGTGCTAGAGGACTTGATGGTCTAACTTGGGGTGACTTCACTGTCTCCTGTTTTTGCTTCAGCTTCGTCTGTGATGGATGCCTAAAGAAAACAGGAAGAACCAGGAAAGAGAACAAATTCTCTGCTAAAAGTAAGATTCTGATACTTGCACCAACAAATTTAAGTAATATGTTAATGGAGAAGAGGTGACTTCTGTGCTTGTTTTGCATTTATTTCAGTTTTTTGAAGTTGTAGGATACTTTTGGTCAATTTTGACCATCAGTTCTGTGATGTTCAGAATGATACTTTGTTGTAGAAGATTAATACACTGTTTTAGAGCACTTCTGCTGCAAGATACACATCTATTTATCTCAGTTGCAGTATTGATAGTGTTGTGAAATAGTTGTTGTGTGACTGCAGTCTAACTTAAGTTTATGATAACGTGTTCAAGTTATTGTGACTACTACTGCTTTTAAGAGCTTTGATGGAGATAAAGATTGCATCACCTGGTGACAAAACTCTCTATAGACATTTCCTCTTGATCAAGGCAACTGGTGTGATGGCTTTGTGGGAGGAAATGTGTGCAGTCATTGTCCATCTGTTCTGTAGACAAAATAAGTCTCTCAGAAACTTCTTAGGTTGGTGTACTTCTTATAAATAGTGAGGATTTATGTTTCTACTGAAATAAAAAAAATCCCTGGCCAACCAATAGCATCAAGATTCAGCAAACCATTCAGTGAATGGTTTTAACATCTGAGTCTTTTTTCAAAATATCCGAAATCAAAACTCCCTAGATTCAGCAAGAATACAGGAAGAATACAAGGGTTCTTTTACCATTTCTATCAGTTATTGTGTCTAGCAACCTGAAAGTATTACATACTTAACGTAGTAGAGTGATGTTTTAACAGAAGATGTCAAATTGGAAAAATGAAAAGCTGATTGGCAGATGTGTAACTCTGCCAGAAGTAATGGCTAGTTATGAGGCAGGCCCTGTTACATCAGAAGTCTTACGTTCCTTTTCAGCTTTAGGTTTTTGTTAACTAATTTTGTGCTTCTTTTGTATGAAGATTGCTTGAAAATGAGAAACTTCTAAACTAAGTATGTTAGTTGCCAATACAGTTTAATTAGTTTTATTTAATTTTCTTTCCATTGTTGAAATATATTCTTTTGGTAATTGGAGAGACTAACTTGGCTAGTATGGATTTATAGACAGAATATACTTCCAAATGCAATGTCTACCTGTGAAGATATGTCTGAGAGCAGTGTTTTGTAATCCAGTTTAAGTAACTAATAACTTCTATTCAGGAGGAACCTTAATTGTGATAGACTTTTAAGACAGATGGAAATTGGTTTGAAATACAGATTCTTCATTCATTTAAATAATGTATAAGCCATAAATGTGCCTGCAGGGGAAAAGCAGCTCACCCCATCTAGAAGTGTTAGGGTTTAAAGGTAAAGCTTTAATTTATGTTAAGATACTGCATGTATTAAGAGTCACTCTTCATTTAACATCTGAGTAGAGAATTTACATATGAACAGTTCAGTTTTGTATATGTTTGGAGCTGTATTTTTCTCCTGCAGGGTTACCAGCTACAAGACTTGGTACCTTCCTGGAGAACAGAGTCAATGATTTCCTAAGACGACAGAATCACCCTGAGGCAGGAGAGGTTACAGTTAGAGTGGTACACGCATCTGACAAAACTGTCGAAGTAAAACCAGGAATGAAAGCAAGGTATGTTCTTTCCATTTCTAATTTTACTTTCTTTTGGGGGATGTGGAAGTTATTTGTACTTACATGATACTCTTTTGATTAAATAAAATTGTTTAGGTTGGAAAATACCTCTAAGATTGAGTCTGACTGTTTCCCTAGCACTGCCAAGGCCACTGCTAAACCATGTCCCTAAGTACCACATCTACACGTCTTCTAAATATCTCCAGGGATGGTCACTCAACCACGTCCCTGGGCAGCCTGTTCCAATGCTTGATAGCCCTTTTTGTGAAGAAATCTTTTCTAAAATCCAATTTAAAAAGACTCTTGTATTCAAAACCTCACCACCAGCCAGTTCTTGACAAACAGATGTTCCAGCAGCGTGTTAATTTGTTATGATGTGGGTCATCTTTTTCATGATAAAAAGTGGATGCCCTGCTTTTGAGTAGTCTGTAAGTGTTAAATTTGCACTAAAATTAGTATTGTAGTCCTCATCTGTTGCCTTCACTAGTAACATGCTTTCTCTAACATGTGAACATACGTGGTATTCCTCTTTACCCTCTAAACTGCAGGTTTGTGGACAGTGGAGAGATGGCTGAGTCTTTCCCTTACCGAACAAAAGCTCTTTTTGCCTTTGAGGAGATTGATGGTGTAGACTTGTGCTTCTTTGGGATGCATGTGCAGGAGTATGGCTCAGACTGCCCTCCACCCAATCAAAGGTGAGAAACTGCATGAAGGTCGATTTAATTTGGTACTCTCAGTTGGGTGAACTTCCTGAAGTTCTGTATAGAGCTTCCTGTGGCTCATGTGAGACCCTTAGTGCTGTTAAGTTCTAGAAACAAAGTAGCTTCTGCAGGGAGTAGGTGAGAGTTGCTTCCTACTGGGAATGCTGGCTGACAGTGTCACCTTAAGGATCACTTATCAATATTCTCAAGGAAGGGATTGCATAGTTTTAGGGAGATGAGGCTAGGATATCAAAAGGAGGCCAAGTTTCTAGAGGTAAATTAGGATCAGAGACTTTGGAGACTGCTGTTGTAATGGATGCTTCAGATGTATAAAATAACATGAATAAACTCGTAGAACTACTTTGAAATCTCTCTTCCTCCTCATATCTTCTTCGGTTTGTTTTTTCTTTTTTTAGGCGAGTCTATATATCTTACCTTGACAGTGTTCATTTCTTCCGCCCTAAATGCTTGAGGACTGCTGTCTATCATGAAATACTAATTGGATATCTAGAATATGTTAAGAAACTAGGGTAAGTATGTTTTTAACATTTTCTTCTGTACAGCATTTGTGATAGGTAGTTTTTATTGCAAATTAAATTACTACATCGTATAGTTCAGAATATGGTGCCTAGGTAGTGATAGAACCCATGGAAGAATATCGTAGCAACAACTGTGCATAGTTGAAAAAGGGAAGAGACAAAAAGGGGTCTCAGGCTTTTCAGGAAAGGCTTATGCTTCAGATATTTTTAGGTTTCCAAACTCACATAAAACTTTCTTAAATCTAAGTAGAAAAAGTGAGCCATTGTCTAGTCCATAAAATTTTGCTGTCCATGTTGTTTGTAGTGTAGTCCTTGTGTAATGCCACTGTTTTAATTAGGTCATTCCTTTGGGCTGGCAAGTAAGTTCTTACCTGTGTTTATAAGGAGAAAGTTAAGTGTACTCTGTCTGTACTGATTAACTCTGTAATAGTTGTATAAGGTCCCTAAGGAATCTCTTGCAGAAGGAGTAGTTGAAATTGTAAGAAACTGAAGAGCTGGGAGAGAAAAAGAATATACCTGGGACAGCACAAAAGAACAAAAAACTGAAGTAATGAGAAAGGTGGAAATTAAATGACTATGATTACTGAAGTAGAAAGGGCACTGAAGTAAACATCAGCCTACTGTCAAACGTATTTGGTGTAGCTGGCAGAGAGTTATTTGTGAAGAAATTGTTAGGTACTATGTTTAAAGCAGGTCTTTGAGAAAAGTTAGGGGAGTTGAAATGGAGGTGAGTGGTACTGTCTTCAGTGAGAATTCTTTAGTACTCCAAAAGCATACATTAGGCTTCTTTCTGCTTCTTTTATTGTGTATTTTCTAACCTGCAAGTCCGTACAACTGCTGTATAGAGCTCAGGCCTCAGTTTTACTTAATGTTATTTTCTGTGCTAATGGGTAACATCAGGATCTCATTTTGGGAAAACAATATTGGTCACGCAGTATCATCTCTCTGTTCTCAGGCAGAAGGAATGACAACTGGCTGCAGTTCCCAGGGTTTGGGTAGGGTTCTGCAGAACTGTTTCTCAACATGGCAAGGATGGTTATTTTTCTCTAACTTGAGAGCTGATTATTCCTCCTACTGGAGTTCTTTTCTAAAACTAATAGAGAAGAACTGAAGATGAAGAAGTGATCTTTGGAGTTATATTCTCTGCAGCTGCTACTATTTGGCTGTCATCTATCTTGATAGTATTCTAGACTGTGTACGCAATAGCATGGGTTGACAGGGACTGTTTATTCCCAGATAAAAGGGTGAAACTAATTGGTAAAACTGATTCTCAAAATTAAAAACCAGAGGATTTCCAATAGAAAAGTGGAAATTCTGTGTTTAAGTAAATCTGTTCTTAAAATGTTGCTACATAATGAATTACTGCAGTGTCTCAAGCTTTTATAGTGAAATACCTAGTCTCTGTCTTTCTCCCGTTAGTTAATTGGGAGATGGCAATTGCAGGTCCATATCAGACTTCAATTTTTATCTAGGCTGGAAAATGCACACACCTTAGATATAGGCTACTATTTATATAGCTCTGAATTTAAAAAAATGAGTGAAAAGACGAAAAGATTATTGCCTAAATGGGGCCGGAACGAACACTGGAATTAAAATGAACGAATACTGGAATTAGAATACAGAGCACTGTAATTATTGTCCATCTGGGAACTGCGGCCAACTAGGTGGTGACGCCACCTGGTGGCAGAGAGGAGAGCGCGCGAGTGTCGTCAGAGCCCACATGTCCCGTTTTTGTCTAACCATGCCAGGTATACTACTGGACACATCTGGGCATGCCCACCCAGCGAAGGAGATGACTACATCTTCCACTGCCATCCTCCTGACCAAAAGATACCCAAACCCAAACGACTGCAAGAGTGGTACAAAAAGATGCTGGACAAGTCTGTGTCGGAGCGCATTGTCCATGATTACAAGGTGTGTTAAGTGTGTGCTGGGGGACGTTGACCGATCTTGTCTTGCCTTTCTTCCTTGCCTTATTGTGCCTGATTCTTGGCATTTACTACATTAGTTTTAAGTGAATTGAGCACTAAAAGTTTGGAGTTAAAACATATCCTCTTCAAAGCATTTAGCTTCTGAAATTGTTCTAGCAAGAAATTATTCCTTAGAACAAACTAAATTCTTGAGAAATACTGTAAAAGAGAGAAAAAGAAAATACATGAAATCTTAAATCTTCTTGCGTTAGATAAAATTGGAGGGTTAGGATGCTCATGCAGTTAGAAGTATGTAAAATCTTTGGAATTATCAGTACTTCAGCTATTGTCAAGATTATAGTGATTATATTGTCCCGTTTGGTAAGTATGCATATTGAAATCTAGCACATGGTAATGATTTTTTTCCTTCCAAGTGGGAATATTTTAAATGTATTTGACAAACTATAACTGATGCAGTGTTAAATCTGCACTTAAAATGTGCTCTCATAAAACGTATTGAAATATTAAGCTCTCCTCTGTTTGGTCTGCTGATGCCTTTTTTTGTCACTTATTGGGAACTTTGCCTATGGTTATGTGACTTGTAATAGTGGTAACCAATAGTGGGTTTGCTCTCTTTTAGGATATATTTAAGCAGGCAACAGAAGATCGTCTGACAAGTGCAAAGGAGTTACCTTACTTTGAAGGGGACTTCTGGCCTAATGTTCTAGAGGAGAGCATTAAGGAACTAGAGCAAGAGGAAGAAGAACGGAAGAGAGAAGAAAACACTAGTAATGAAAGCACAGATGTAAGGATGCTTCTGCTATTTCATGATCTAATGTAAAGCTGTGATTATATGTGACTAATTATAAAAAAGGAGGGGGCCAAGGCACTTTGGTTAACTGGCCTTTTCACCTTTCACTGTAAGATAAATTTCAAATTTACAGTTTATAAATTAGAGCTGTTAAAATACCACTAAACTACATTTTGATGAACAGCAACTGTTTATATGGCTATAAACCTATCTAATTCCCAAAGGCAATAAGGTTGAAACAACTAGTTGAATATTTTTCTGCTGAAATCCAATTGTTATCCATGTTCATGTTGCCACTTCAGCCTGACTGGGAAGTGTTTGTCCTTAAGCTTTAGCTTTTGAATAGTGGGTAACTCTTTTCTTATAACTTACACGTTCTAACACCAATCTTAGCAGATGGTCTGAGAAGGTAGCGGAGTGCTGTGAGTTAGTACTTGGCTCTCAATAGGTTTGTTTACTAGCTTTAAGGCACTGAGGATCTGAAGCACAAATTACTGCTAAACTGTTGTTGGGCTACTTTAAACTAGAGAAACTTCTTGCTGGTGTCTTGTGTAGGGTTTTTTTTGAGAACGTGCAACAGTGTTTTCACATTCCACACAAATAAGGCATGCCTCTTAATTCAGCAATAAATTTGAAAGTGAACAGATACATCTGCCTATCCTTGGATTTTCTAAGCTTTTATGGAAGAGGTGGTGAATCTAGGTTAGTACTTTTGCTCACACAGTAGTACTTGTTAGTTAACCCTGTTTAAACACTGCTACTTTGTCACCTTATCAGATACTAGATTTTTGTTGGGGTTTAGAATTTTTTTTGCTAAAAGACCTCTGGATCAAAAAAATTAGGTTTAGAATTAGAATTAGAAATTGTGCTTCTCCTGTGCTGCTCTTTGCAATGCCTTCTTTCAAGGACTTAGTTCAATCTAAGTGCAAAAGTAACATGGGAATTAGGCAACTGGATATCAAATTTGCATTAATTAACATCTTTCTTAGGAAGGTATTGTTTGTTTTCCACGTGGTATAGCTGCAAGTTCCCATCTCTCTAATACACGAGAAACCTCTCGCAAGGAATTGCTTAGCACTCTGTGTGAGGTTGGTCAACATTTAGTTGAACCTTCACAGCAGTTTGGCCCCAAAATCCTGAGGTGGGGCAAGCTTGCAGAACATCACTATTTAACCTTTATTATTAAAAATATTTTCAACTCTTAATTGACCCTATGTTTCACCTCTTGAAAATGAGGCATTAATAAATTGTACTGTCACATGAAGTGATAATCATTCATGGTCACTGGAAATTTCCATTCTGGCAGTTATTTTAAGTGTAGGAAAAGTGCTTGTTTGGATAAGAATTGCTTTGATCCTTGGTCATCATATGCTGTCATGTTTTGGGGGGCCCTTTGAGCAGCCCAGTGAGGAATAAATGCTCATTGCTAACTGAATACGGTTGAAATTAAGCTGACCTGTTTTGTTGACTGTTGCGAGATGTGACAGGAGGAAGGTGAATGCTAGAAATAGCACTGCTAATGTCTTTTGGACTCAGAACAACAGCTTCATATTAAAATCAGTTTAGTGCAGTCTATTAAAAATAAATCTCTTGGAGAGCTGTAGGAAACTAAATTTAGGTGGTTTAAGTCTTTCTTACTTCTGATTAGTGTGGTATCAGTTGTACTTTTCATTTATTTTTATTTTTGAATTGCACTGAGAATTCATCTGCTGAACCCCTTTGTGATTGTCCAAGAGGTTCTTCAGTGTGCAGCTGTATCAGACAAATAAGTTTTATTAAATGTTTCCCTTGCACCTCCTGAGCATTTATGCTTTCAGTATTTTTAGATGTGTGTCTTGCTGATCTTGATATCTTTTGGAATGATTCTAATGGAATTAATTTAATGTTTCTGGGGACCCTGATAAGTGTCTTCAGAGTAAATTATTGTGAAGTGTTTTGTCCTGCAGTTACAGAATATTTGAAAGTAATAAAATGCTAAATGTTACTTGGATACCTGACATGAAATGTCTTTAAAACTACTAGGTGAGCAAGGGAGACAGCAAAAATGCCAAAAAGAAGAACAATAAGAAGACAAGTAAGAACAAGAGCAGCTTGAGTCGTGGCAATAAGAAAAAGCCTGGCATGCCCAATGTGTCCAATGACCTCTCCCAAAAGCTGTATGCCACTATGGAGAAGCACAAGGAGGTAAGAGTTGATTGAATGAGAAATATGTATTTTACTTCAATAAAGAGGTGTACAGAGCTTTGATACTTCAAACAGTCATGCTCTGTAAATGATACAGGTTTGGCTGGAGAGTTGAGAGGCACACCAGACAGACAAGTGCCAGTAAGTCTGGGCGCTCTTTGCTGCGAGGGCAGTGGGGATAAATGCAATTGCACTTGTGCAGAACTTCCTAACAGTCTAGATTGTCACAACAGTTTTACTGTTCAGTCCAGTGCCCCTTACCTAATGCTTCAGAGGAAGGTGAACCTGCAGGGCTCCCAGAGGTCTGAGATTTCCAGGTCCTTACCAAGCACACCACCTGGCAACATGTCATTCAAGTGTTAGTTGATCTTGGAATTGGACTCTTTGTGTAATGAGGTTTTTTTATTTTTTAGGTCTTCTTTGTCATCCGTCTCATTGCTGGCCCTGCAGCCAACTCCCTGCCCCCCATCATTGAGCCTGACCCACTCATCCCATGTGACCTGATGGATGGACGTGATGCTTTCCTAACCCTTGCTAGAGACAAGCACCTGGAGTTCTCCTCACTACGAAGGGCCCAGTGGTCAACCATGTGCATGCTGGTGGAACTGCATACACAAAGCCAAGACCGCTTTGTTTACACCTGCAATGAGTGCAAGCATCATGTGGAGACCAGATGGCACTGCACTGTCTGTGAGGTATGTGTGGTGAAGTCTTCCCTGCTTCTGTCCCTGTGTCTTTGTGCCCAAAGTGCTTTTTACCTGAACTGATTTCTCATTGTTAACTGATGGAAAAAGATCTGTACAGTTCATCCACTGGCAGTAGAGAAAGAAAGGAGAGAAAACATTTTCCAGAATAAGCGGTTCTACTAATCTGCTGCTTGGAGTGATTCTTGTCTTCTACTTTCAGTCTGTGGAGAGCTGAAGTAGAATTGTGTTTCCTGTAGTTCATTTGAACTACTTAAGCAGTTTGGAACTGTAGCAGTTGCTTGAGCTGTAATGGTAGGATGAGCTGATTTTTCTGAAGACCAGTGCATACTTTCTTCTTGAAGAGTCAAAGTGTTGGGCTGCACTATTTCTGTAAATAGGGTGCTCTGCTGGTTTTCTGGGTTTTGCTATGCTACAAGTCAGATCCCAGTACTTGGGCAACTCCTCCACTACTCCAGACCACTGCACTCAATCTTCAATGCTGTGCCCTCCAGGAGCTGGACTATCATTGACTCTGACTTGAAACTTAGTTTTTTTGTCTGCAGGAAGGGAATAGCTGTCTCAGATTTGGTTCTGAAAAGCTCTGATTAAAAGCTGATGATTCCATTTGCTCTGGTTAAAATAATATATGGTTTTATTTTCTGTTACATACCAAAAAATAAATTCTAAATTAATGACTCCTGAGAACTTGGGTCTTTTCCTTAAAGATCAATTCTTGAGCCCAAACTCATGTGCTGTCACTTTCACAGAATGTAAATGCTGTTCTGTTCCTCCCTCAGCACACACTGTTGTTTAACTCGTATCTGCAAATGAAAAATGCAGCTTTCATTCTCCTCCTTTGAAAACTGGTACCTCCTCTGCCACTCTTGCCCTCTTCTTTTGAAGCAGGAGCAGATGGGCAGCTATTTGTTCCTTGCCTCTTTCTTCTCCTTTCTTATTGGGAAAGAAAGGGTTTTTTCTGGCCCAGCTGAATAATATGTGGCTTATTAGCTCAGGGCAAACTTGTTTTTCAAGGTATATGTATATGTGTAACTTTCAGATGCCTGTACACCCACACACTTTCCCTGGCTATAATTTGGATTTATTCCTTCTCTAGTACCTCAGTGTGGCATAAAAGATTGAATTTTTCCCTAGAGCAACAATTTGCCTGGAACAGACTGGGAGTAATTTGTTGAGGCGGCATGACGTCATTTATTCCTTTATTGTATGTAGTCTCAAGAACACTGATAACTCTTCCTTTGTTGTCTTTCCAGGATTATGACCTGTGCATCACCTGCTATAACACTAAAAACCATGACCACAAGATGGAGAAATTAGGCCTTGGTCTAGATGATGAGAGCAACAACCAGCAGACTGCCACCACCCAGAGCCCTGGTGATTCCCGCCGCCTGAGCATTCAGCGCTGTATCCAGTCTCTGGTCCATGCCTGCCAGTGTCGGAATGCCAACTGCTCACTGCCATCCTGTCAGAAGATGAAACGGGTCGTCCAACACACCAAAGGCTGCAAACGCAAGACCAATGGAGGGTGCCCCATCTGCAAGCAACTCATTGCTCTCTGCTGCTACCACGCAAAGCACTGCCAGGAGAACAAGTGCCCCGTGCCCTTCTGCCTCAACATCAAACACAAGCTCCGTCAGCAACAGCTTCAGCACCGCCTGCAACAGGCGCAGATGCTCCGAAGGAGGATGGCGAGTATGCAGCGCACCGGTGTGGCAGGCCAGCAGCAGGGATTGCCCTCGCCCACACCAGCCACCCCAACGACTCCAACGGGCCAGCAGCCCCCAACGCCACAAACCCCACAGCCCCAGCCTCCGCCTCAGCCTGTGTCGCAGCCTCAGCCTGCGCCTCCCAACAGCATGCCACCCTACACCATGCCAAGAACTCAGCCCCCCAGCGCTGTATCCCAGGGCAAGGCAGGTGGCCAGGTGACGCCTCCAACTCCACCCCAGCCACCGCAACCACCAGTTCAGGGTCCTCCTCCGGCAGCAGTGGAAATGGCCATGCAGATCCAGCGGGCAGCAGAGACCCAGCGCCAGATGGCACAGGTTCAGATCTTCCAAAGGCCAATTCAACACCAGATGCCCCAGATGCCACCTATGGGAATGAACCCTCCACAGATAGGCAGAGGTCCTAGTGGTCATATAGATCAAGGAATGGGGCCAGCGGGAATTCAGCAGCAACCACCATGGGTGCAGGGGGCCTTGCCCCAAGCTCAGCTGCAGCCAGGAATGCAGAGGCCATCCATGATGTCAGTAGCCCAGCCGGGTCAGCCAATGAATATGCCCCCTCAGCCAGGGATGGGTCAAGTACCTGGCACTGCTCAGCCCAAACAACCACCTCTGCCCCAGGCGGCCTTACAAAACCTACTGCGGACTCTCAGGTCTCCCAGTTCACCCATGCAGCAGCAGCAGGTGCTTAACATCCTTCACTCCAACCCTCAGCTGCTGGCTGCTTTCATCAAGCAGCGGGCCGCCAAGTACGCGGGGTCCCAGAACCCGCAGGGCATGGCAGGTCAGCCTGGCATCCCGCAGGGGCAGCCAGGCCTGCAGCCACAGCAGGCCATGCAAGGGCAGCAGGGAGGGGTGCACCCCAACCCAGCCATGCAGAACATGAACCCCATGCAAGCAGGAGTGCAGAGGCCCAGCATGCCCCAGCAGCAGCCACAGCAGCAGCCGCAGCAGGCCATGGCTGGGATGAATCCTCAGGCGCAGCAGATGAATATGAATCACTCGGGAATGGCTCCCCAGTTCCGAGACCTCCTGATGAGACGGCACCAGATGATGGAGCAGCAACGCCACCAGCAGCAGCAGCAGCAGCAGGGAGCAGGACCAGGGCTGGGGCCAGGGATGGCCAACCACAGCCAGTTTCAGCAGCCCCAGGGAGTCGGGTATCCCCAACAGCAGCAGCAGCGAATGCAGCATCACATGCAGCAGATGCAGCAAGGAAACATGGGACAAATAAGCCAACTTCCACAGTCCATGAGTGCAGAGACAGGAGCCAGTTTGCAGCAGGCTTTCCAGCAGAGGCTACTTCAGCAGCAGATGGGGTCCCCAGCTCAGCCCAATCCTATGAGCCCCCAACAGCACATGCTCCCCAACCAGGCCCAGTCCCCGCACCTCCAGGGCCAGCAGCTCCCTTCATCGCTCACCAATCAAGTGCGTTCTCCGCAGCCTGTTCCCTCACCACGGCCCCAGTCCCAGCCCCCCCATTCCAGTCCATCCCCTCGGATGCAGCCTCAGCCTTCTCCACACCACGTCTCCCCGCAGACCAGCTCCCCACATCCAGGACTGGTAGCTGCCCAGGCTAACCCCATGGATCAAGGGCACTTTGCCAGCCCGGACCAGAGTGCAATGCTTTCCCAGCTTGCTAGCAATCCTGGCATGGCAGGCCTCCATGGTACAAGCGCCACGGAACTGGGGCTCAGCTCTGAGAACTCAGACTTGAATTCAAACCTTTCACAGAGTACACTAGACATACACTAGACACATTGTAGCATTTTGGGAGCAAAAAAAAAAATTTAAAAAAAAAGAAAATAAACTTATTTTCTCAAGACTTTTTGTACTGAAGACAAATTTTTTTGAATCTTTCTTAGCTAAAACAACATTTTTCCCTGGAATACATCTGAACTCTGCAGCAGTAGTTTGTGGTTTTAAAAGCAAACCTACAACGAACCTGAGGGACAGTAGAGTACAAAGAATATATTTTTGTTATGGCTGGAATCATAACCAGTCCTTTTTCTTGGTTTTTTTTTTTTCCTCGTGTGTGTTGGGGAGGTTGGGGGAGGAGGATGATCTTTTGGTTGTTCACCAAAGGATGCCCTGCTCATGCCTCCAATAGGTTTTATTTTTTTTTAAATTAATGAAAATATGTAATATTGATAGTTATTATTTACTGAGGCAGATGGTAAACGTTTTCCCAATTCTGGTTTTTCTTCATGTCACTGCAAAAAAACCACCACAAAAACAGAACAACAGAAAAAACACAGGAGAACCTTTTCCTAAAACCGGAGGACAAAAGGGGTTAATGTTGCTTTAAAAAACATTATATATATAAATATATATATATAAAAATAAATACCAGTCTTTTCCTCTTTGGTTGGAAATATGTCAATTCTTTGAAAAAATGTAAAAATATTAAATAACTCAGTCCCCTCCTGAAGTCTACTTTTGTCCTCCAAGAATTTTCTATACAAGAGTCTGAGCTTAAAAAAAACTTCAAGTATTAAAGTAATTTGTACATGTAGAGAGAAGACAACATTTTTGCAAATACACAGGGGCAGCTGCCAAATGGATGTAGTATATATATTGTGGTTTCTGTTTTCTTGAAAGAATTTTTTCGTTATTTTTACATCTAACAAAGGAAAAAAAAAACATAAAAAAGAGGGTAAGAAACAATTCCAATGGGATTATTTCAACCTGAGAAAAAGTCCCTGGGGTTTCTTCTTTATGCTTGCTTTCTCTCTCCCATGCCCCTTTCCCACCCTCTTCCACTTTCTGTAAAACTTGAAAATAGAAAGCAAAAAAACCCTCAAATGTTGTAAATCATGCAATTAAAGTTGGTTACTTATAAATAAGAACTTTCGATCACTGTATAGACTGTTAAAAATTGATTTCTTATTACCTATTGTTAAATAAACTGTGTGAGACAGACAGTCTGTTTTTAATGTTTCCCTTCTCTCCCACATGTGTTGCTTGTTCTTAAAATGGTGGGGGTAGCGGAATATGTGCTGCTTCAAATGTTCGCTATTTAGAAGTCGGAGAGCTATTTAATGTATATGACTGTTTTAAAATGCAAATCTCTAATAAGGGATGTGGAGTAATAATTAGTCTTCTAAGCGGACTCTTTTGGTACAGCTCTGCATTTGCGTTGTTCCCGGCATGTATCTTACCAAAGAAACGAGGTCTGACCTCAACAGTTGTGCCAGTCAGCTGTACCCCACCCTGCTCACAGCTTGGGAGCAGCTGATCTTCAAAGGACCTATTTTGCATTTTGAAATGAGAACTATTGTTTGGATATGTGATATTAAAAGATCCTATTTCACTTGTAACACATTGTGCGCCTTTTGGCACTGAAGTTGTGAGCACAAGGTAACCCTGTGTGCACGTCCTGCAGGCGCTGCACCGAGACGGCATGTGGGTGCCGTGTCACCCTGTGTCAGATCTGGTGACCTGCCAGGTGTAGGGGATTTCCTCAACAGGAATGCTGTAGCAGTGGAGCATGCACGTAGCAAACCCAGTTGTGTGCTGCCCGTAGCTGCGTGCATGTGGAGTTAAACCCGTCGTGCCACATGTTGTGCGCTGGTCATCTTGTATGTGGCTGGTTCATTGAGGGCTTCCCAAAATCCAGCCTTACACTGTGCACGTGCATAGAGTGCTGACTGCCTAAGGAATAACTTTCACCAGGGCCTAATGCATCTGGAAGACCCAGATGTGACCAGAGCACAACATCTGTGTAACGCCGGTTGTGTTGTGAGCATCAGTGTATCCAAGATCCCAAACAAACAACAGGACCAAGCTGACCTCGGGAAACTGCTGATGGAAGAAGAGGGGGGGGGGGGAAGATGGATGGATGGGAATCTCAGCCAAGTGCCAAACAAAAATTATGGTGTGTTACAATGTGAATGGATATTAGAGGCGCTTCAAAAACGGGAGTAAAATGCTTGATTTGTGGATATAAAGTGCTTGATTTGTTAATATAAACAGAAGTAGGGCAATGAATTCTTGTATTTAAAAAAAGGTTTTTGGTAGCAAGCTAAGGGAAAGTTCCTGGGAGGCTGAGAAGCAGCCCTTCTGTTTTGGTATTCTCCTTTGGATAATCCTCATACCACTGACTCCTGCATGGCACAGACCAGCTCTGCACCAAAGCCACCATTACCATGACCTGCTCTAAAGGAGAGCAAAAACAAAACCCCCACATGTTGAATGCCAAGGCAGCAGTCTGGGATGGTTTATATGTGTGTGCTCCCCAGTAAGCTTTCGTCGTCTTCCCCGCCACCCAAGCAAAGCCTAGATTTACTTTCAGCCTTGGGAGGCTTCTCAGGATGGAACATTAATAAAATTCCTTCTGAAACCACATACTGGCTAGCAAAGTGAAAGTGTGCCCAGCTTTCTGACTTGCAAAAGGCTTTACTTGAAAGCTTTTAGTGCAAACAGCTTTCATTTGTGCTGCTGAGTTAGCACACAAAATGTGATTTGAATTTGTCTCAACTGGCATCAAAGCATCTGAAGTGGGGAAGCCTCGAGACCTTGCAGAGCAAGCTATAGATCTTCCAACTTCCAAAGATGCCATGAGGCATTTTATGTGACAGCACAGCTGCTCTGTCCCTCTTTGTGCATGCTGACTCTGAGCCAAGTTCAGTTTGTTGAAGTGGTGTGGATGATCAATGGTCTTGAATTTGCAGGGCATGTCTTTCCTCTACATCCCTCCCCTTCTGCTTTCCATGATTCTGCTGGAGAACCGGAATCCCTCATTTGGGGAAATACTATGGCTGACTCAAGTAGTGGTAGGATTTCAGGAAGACAACAAAATTAGGGTGTCATCTGTACCTCTCTTGCCATTCAGTTGCATCCAAGTTAGAGTAGGTTGTTCCACTCCCACCTATTTGTTGGACTCTTGGACCGATAAAAAGAACTCACACTCAAAGTTCTAGCAATCCAATCAGATGCTTACTGTCCAACAATGCTAATGCTTCTAGTCAAATAATATGCAGTTCAGTGACATAAACTTCCCCTTCCAATGCCCTTTAGAGTCCTAGAGTCAATGACTGAAGTCAAAGTTGGGGAGGGCTTGCAGTGAGTTAGTTGAGGGGAGGAGTGTAATATTTGTGGTTTATCCCTCAGTTTTGGGGACATCCTTAGGTAAAAAAATACACCTTGCTCTTTCCTGGTCCCTCGTTCCTCAATTATGTCCAAATTTACTGTTTATGGAGCGTTTTAAATAACGTTGTTGCATCCTTGTTCTTTGTTGCTCCTAAAACTCCGGTGACTTGGCCACTGGTGAAATTACTCATAGCCTAGGTCTGCATTATCGTCCTGTGACTGTGTCTACACTCATGCATTTATTTATATATTTATTTTTAATTCTGTCATCATGGATACTCTGTTCTACACAGAGCCACTTGTTGTTACAGAAGGACAGAATGGCTGAGGTAGACAGGCATCTCTAGAGATCATCTAGTCCACCTCCCTGCTCAAAGCAGGGTCACCTAAAGCAGATTGCATGTCCAGATAAGTATCTCCAGGAGGGACATGCCGTGGCCTCTCTGTCTTCAGACACACACCCGCTAACCCCCCAAGGTGTCTATACACATTGGTAAGACCCCTCTGCATCTTCTCTTCTCCAGACTGAACAGTCTCAGCTCTCTCAGCCTCTCCCTATCTGACAGATGCTCCAGTCCTCTCATCATCTTCCTGGACCTTTGCTGGGCTCGCTTTACTGTGTACATGTCTCTTTCTCATACTTGGGAGCCCAAATGTGAATGCAGCATTTCACTTCTGGCTCATGGGTGCTGAGGGGAAGGATCACCTTCCTCCACCTGCTGGCAATAGTCCTAACACAGCTGAGGAGGCTGTTGGCTGCCTCTGCCACAAGGGCACCTTGTTGGATACTGTTCAACTTGCCATCCGGACCCTCCAGTCCTTTTCTGCCAGACTTGTGCTGATGCATATGGCATTGTTCATCCTAGGTGAAAGACTAAAAGACTACGTTTCCCTTTGTTGAACTTCCTGTCAAGCCATTCTTTTAGCCTTTTGAGGTCCCTCTGGATGGCAGCACAACCCTTTGGCGTATCAACCTCTCCTCCCAGTTTTATACAGCTGTAAACTTCCTGAGAATGTATTTGGCCCCATCATTGTGGCCACCAATGAAGATGATGTGAAAAGGGATTGTCCCCAGTACCAACCCTTGGAGTACATCACTAATGACTTGCCTCCACTGAACTTTGTGCCAGTGATCCCAATCTTTCAATCCATTTTATCCATGTTTATCTAGCCCGTACTTCCTCACTTTGTGAGGCAGTAGTCAGAGATGGTGTCAAAAGCCTTAAGTAAGTTCAAGATAAAAAGCGTTTGCTGTTATCCTCTCATTCAGCAAGCCATCCCATAAGGCTGTCAGGTTGCTTAAGCTTGATTTCCCCTTCATAAATCTGTGACACCTGCTGTACAACTGGTTGTTGATCTGCAGGCTGCATCTCTTCCCCCTCAGGTATTTCCCCCACACAGCTCCCAAACTCAAGGCCATTGTATCCAGAGCCATGAAGTATGCTTGGTATGCCTGGGGTCTCCCCTGGCAGTATCACTGGTGCCCACATGAAGAGCAGCAGTTGCAGGAATGAGTGTGAGGGCTGGACAAGCCTTGGCAGACTCTCCATACCATCCCAGATGGGAGAACCCAGCAAGCAACACATCTGCTTTGTCAGGTTGGCAGATGGTGGCCTTCATCCCCTGCAGCAGTGAGTCTCTATCAGCACCCAGCACTGCCACTGGTGCTGTTGTGTGGCTAAGGCAGGTCGGATGTTTCTCTGGAAAACTCCTTGCTGTTTGTTCAGTTTTTTCACTGGAAACTCCAAGCTCTCAGCCTCACATCTGCTCAGGGGTAGTGAACGGATGCTGTTCTAGTCCTATATGTGTGCAGGTGGAACAGGAAACATCCTTCTGATGCCACAAGTCACAAGCTTCCAGCCTTCATCGATTCCCAATCCAGTTCGCACAGACTCTGCCTTCAGTACACATGGGGCATTCAGGCTCTTGAAACTGCAGGGTCTCCAAGAAGATCCTGTTCTGCCCCAGCCTTGGCCAAAGCAAGAAGCCTCCAACACTCCCTTCAGCACGAGACTTGCAAAGCCATATCCTCCCACACAAGAGCTCAGCCTGGGTAGAGGCTCTGACATTACAAGGGAAGCTGTTCTGGAGTCTGTGGGAGCCCATGCCCTGTGGCACACCATCACCCCCTGGCTCCTCTGTGCACACCCACTGTGCAACCTCCTGTGTCAGTTCCTGCTCTCCAGGAGCCGTGCTCCAGGCCCAGCAGTTACACAGGCTTCTCCCTAGCACCTGCTATCTATCATTTACAATAACTCATACACGGCAAGTGTCACGCCAGATAATTGCACAAAACCCAAGACAGTGCCGGTAACAGTCACCTGGTCATCAGACAACTGTTGTAAGAGTGAAACAATCTACAACAAAGCTCCTGGAAGGCTGAGACAAGTCCAGGCAAAGCTCATGTAACACAGAGCTTGTGGCCTCTTACAAGCAGTGGCAGCACCACAAGGCTGAGTTACATGATGTGGCAGTGACAGCCATTCCAGCTTCTGTTTCATTTTCCAGAGCCTTCTCCAATGATTGATACACAGTTTCTCTGCAAGAAACTCCACCTCCTGTTTCCAAGATGGTCTTTTTACGCACACCGTGTCCTTGATCACGCTGCTCCCAGTTCCAGCCAAACTCAAGGACTTCAGCCCAGCCTCTCTGCACAGTCTGGAGCAGGTCCTGTATTGAAAGACAGCAGCAGTCAGAAGAGTCTTCTCCTAATGACCAGTTCTGCCTAAGTGTGTGACGAGGCTTCCTACCCGAAAAATGAGCTTTTCTTTGAAGAGCAGCCATGGGGTGCCCTGGCTGGGGAATGTTTGGTTTTATAATGCCTTTCAGCTGCCTTCCTACACCACCAC